GCTCCGAATGATGCTGTGCAAACGGAGGCCACCATGATTGAAAGCACAATCAGTGCTGCTGGTTCAGGTGAGTTTTTGCTCTTTTCCCCCGTTTTTTTTATTTGCTGAATAAATTGTTTCCTCAATTCTGGATTTTGAAGAAAGTTCCATTGGATGTGGATTTTTTTTATTGCATTTTATCCTATACATGATGAAAAATCTGTCATTTTAACCCTTCTGTATATATATGGAGTGAATGAATGAATGAACAGAAAACTTTATTTGCCGCTTTTCAGCGTTCACAAGGCACAACCAAAACTCCCGCAGCCAAACCCCCTCCCCACCCAACTCAACTCCCAGAAAATAAAGTTTTCTGTTCATTCATTCATATACGGAGTAGTTGTGATATAATTTTTGCAAACATGCGAGCCAAAGAGCATCTAATTGCAAGAAAATTAAATTTGGACTGACAACAAAGTTCCTAATTTGGGAAAAGTCTGATACTGTATTTTTCGCTACATTCCAAAAAAATCTTGGTTGAAAAAACTTTCACTGAGTGACATTTTTTTTGCATACATACCATGGGGGACTATAAAACTAGGCTTCGAATTCAATATACTGCACTGTATTACTTTGCCTAAATTTTCCTAAATTTTTTGGCCTTCTTTGTCCATCAGACTGTATTTTGTTGATCTTTGGGTCAAGCCAAAATGCATCAGTGTGCAAAGAAGTCTAATTTTGCTGCTGGATGGAAAAGGAACCAACTAATGGTCAACAGATACAGTATATGCACAAGTAAAAGTTGCTAAAACTATACTTTGCTCCTGCAATCAAAGCCCGAGCATATTATGCATAGAAATACTTTACTATAAACGTTATTGAACTCAGCTATTCGCACACAGAAAAAGGAAATATTATAAGGTCCTGGCACAAATATCACAGGCTTATTTTGTCTCAGGCCCATCAGGCAAACAATTGATTTGGATCATTAGCTATTGTCAGAGTTTGCGCACCTTTTTGAAATTACGCAACCAATGGAAGTCCAGGAGGAGTTCATTTATTGGAATCATTTGCTGTTTTTAGTTCATTCACTAGTCAATTATACACATACTCCAGTTGGAACTAAGACAGAAATGAGACCTACAGGTTAATCTGAGACCTCCAAAGATTATTGAGCAATTCAGCATAGGTTCAGGTTCACAACTTGCTGCCTGGTTTATCCAACATCCCTTGCAGCAGGGATGTTTGGATAAAAAATCTTCCAGTCAAGGTAGCATACATTTTTTTATATTTGTCCTGTGTGACTTTGACCTGCACATATATTTGAGTAATTTTCGATAGGTCTAGGTTTACAACTTCAGAGGGAATACAAGTGCAGTGACACCGTGATATACAGACACCCCAACATACAGACAATTTGACTTATGGACACTTGAAAACCAAAAAAAAAAAAAAAATCAGGCCCAACATCCAGACATTGGCTCAATAAGGGACAATTTTCTGACATTTTCCAAAAAAAAATCAACACATTTCATTTTTTAATCTTGAAGAAATCAAGCTATTTATATTCTTAAAAATTGAAGAAAAAGATTTCATTATAAATTCAAAGCTGATTTTGTGCTTCTTTTTCAGAGTTTTTTTCTATCATCTGTACATATTCTTGCAAGACTTTTTCTCTGCTTTTTGATCTCCTTTTGACGCCAAAAGGTAAGATTCTGTGTGGTTTTGTTCTGCACTGCTGTTTTCTACAACTTGAAGTTGAGGGAAACAATTTTTATTACATTTTTGAGGACTTAATTCTAATTTTTGACAAAAAAGATAACCAATTAAATACATTAGCATTGAAGTCCAAGAGAAAGTGAAACTTGACTTAGGGACATTTTGACAGCAGGACACTCTTGATGCACCAATTATGTCCGTATCTTGGGGTCTCACTGTACAATCAGCTAGGGGAGGATGGAGAAAAAATTGTCAAGTTGATTAAATGTATACAGTATTTGTCTTTTGGGACTTTAGCCAGAGACAACTGAGTTCTACTCATGTTCACAAAGTTTACAGCAGCAATTAAGGATGCATAAAAGTTGACTCATCCATAAGATCCTATACTGCTGCACCAAAAATAATTTGTCATCAATGAGCGAGTCGAGGCAAACCACCAGGAAACTAGGTTTATTGAAGAAAAAAAAAATCTTAATCATGGTCGTCCTCATCGCCATCATATCAACAGGTTTGACGAGACACCCTTTTGGCCTCGGTTGGGTGGTGCCGAAAATCCCGCTGCGCACCAAATCGCCCTTCGGCAGTCTCGCCCTGGTTCCTCCTGCCCAAGCTGTTGACCTAGCTTCACATTTGGTACCTGCTGGTAACAACACCACCACCTCCACCACCATCAGTCTCCAGAACCGACGTCAGCACGGTGATGTGAGTATCTGGCTCATTTGATTATTGTTTCTTTATGTCTCTCTCTGTCGAAATGTTCTCCTATTTACTTAACTATCAAAAAAACGAACATTCAAAACAATAAAAATCATCAGTTAAGTCCCATTCTTTGTATGATTTTTTTAAATTAAACAACCGATTTAAAAAAAAATTGGTTATACTGGCGTCAATTTTACATCGAGGCCTTATTGAGGACAGGAATTTTGTGTATGCAATATATATGCTGTTGGACGGGCCTAGAATAAAGTCTTACTCAGAGGAACCCCCAAAAGTGCAACTTCAAGAGTTTTCCAATTGAAAGAACCAGCATTTCTTGCAAGTTGGAAAAACTAATGACTTGCAGGAAGTTAAAATGTTTGATCTGTTGGGCGTTAAACTGCCGGGTAATTAAATGGGCTGACAGGATGCTGAACTTGGCCAATTTGTCCCTCACTGTCTTTGAACTGCATCAAGGTACAGGATTATTTCTCATATCTTTCATTGGTCCCCAGAAAACCATATTTACTTGAGTTTCAATAGTAAGTACCATTGAGTAAAATGCGCACCTTAGATTTTTAGCTAAGAACGTTCAAAAATCATCATACCTGCATAACATAAGGCATTCACCTCAGTTTTTGTTCTCTAAAATTCCCATTTGAAAAGCTGTGTCAGGTAAAAATCTTCATTCATGCCCACTTGAAATTAAAATTCAATGCTGATATTTCTTGCATCATACAAATAATACTTGTACTGTATTGAAATAGAGGGGTCTGGAAAAAAATTTAAAGGGAAGAGAAACAAAATTTGCCTTGAAAATTTGTACCTGACCTCATCTTTCACTCAATTTTTTAAAGGTACATTTGGGTACTCAGGTAAATACTCTCAAATAGACCAAATTAGGCTATTTGAGAAATTTGAGTTACAGAGGTTTGGACGTATTTTAGATAGGGAGGTTTGCATAAGATTGTTCAAGTCAAGTTACATGTATAGGGAATCCAGACATGGACAACTGAAAAAAATCCAGAGGGAGATTTGAGTTACCAAAATTCAAACTGTAATGGGCATCATTCAGAATTTCAGTCACTTCAGGGATTCAATTCTCAAGCAAAAGTTTGTCAGTGCAAGAATTAAAACAAAAATTGGAGTTTGTTTTGAAAAGATAATCATAACAAAAATGTATCCCAGCATTGATTAATCAAACAAATCACTTCATGGAAAGACTCAAATACCAACAAGGATCTTTGTTTGAGACATACAGGTGGTATACCTCACAATTCAACCTCTGGCAATTTGACAGTTCAGCAATTCAACAGTCAAATTTCCTGGGAGTTTGACTCTCAATTTGACCTCTGCTTTTCAATTCTGTGAAGAGACATGGAATGTCAAATGCCATGTAGAAAACATGACATTATTTGACACAGTCTCTCAATTTGACTGCTTTACTGACTTTGAACCTAGTCCAGCAAAGGAATAGGGCCAAATTGCGGGGTACCTGCACCTTTATACTGCCATGAATCATTAAGTCAAGCATCATTCGTCGTATATCTGAATCTAGAATACTGCTGTACAGTACTTGACTGCCAGAAAATGAGAGAAATCAAAACCAGTCAGCCACATCATATTATTGTAACCAGCAGTGTCCATTTCATCCCTGGTTACAAGGCGGGCAATTCAGACTAGATTCGAGCCATCGCGTCTCATGTCTCGGTTCCGCGGAACCGACGATTCCGGTCCAATAACAACTCAAACGAGAATAAAAACTATCATCGAATGTACTGGACTTTTCTTCTCTCTCTCTCTCTCTCATAAAAAAAGTTGAAGAAACAAACGAAAAAAAAAAGAGAATTGCCAACCACTCGTCCGTTGATTTCAGTTCACCCCGATCTCACATGAGGCGCGTCTTCGAATGAGGCCCTACTTACAGTCAAGACCGAAAAATCGGTGGTCCGCGAAAATGCAACAACAAAAAAAGACCAAAGAAGGCGTCCTTTGGGAGTGAAAACGGAAGTGAAAACTGGACCGAAGGAGGATTTTCAACAACATCAAGGCTTTCTATTATATGCGAAGCATTCAATAGTAAGCCTTGGAATACCAAGCATTTACTTTTATTTATGAACTTGAGCCAATAATTTCATTTCCTCGCAGAAATGCTGACGTTACATCATGAACCTGAGTTTCGCGAGCTTTTTTTTTTTCGAAAAATAATTTTCAAATTAATCATCTCGCAGAATCATGAGTGAATATTTTTGGCGAGATTACATAACAAATAAACGCTTGTTGGCGGATTGCGTAAGTTTTATCGCGTGTCTTTCTAACTGTAAAATTAAAAGAAAAAACATTGGAACAACAACATCTTCGTATGCTATTGTTATGAGGCTAAGGTACGCATTTGATAGCATAAAATGAAAAAAAGCGGAAATACGATGGCTCAATTCTTCTAGGTAGACAAGGCGTGTTTCCCTGAGAAGTTAAAAATGACTTGCTGACATATTTACAAGCACTCCATTTTTTTCATAAATACACGCGTTGAATTGGGCATTTTGGATTGTTTGAACACGAATTTAGTATAAAATTCCCAAATAAATAAATTGAAATACCTGCGCGAAGAAGAAAAAAAATCGGCATACAGTGTTCTCATCTCAATACAGCAGCAAAAGAAATACAATACAGTATTTGAAAAAATACGCAGTGATTCATCGGAATCGATCAAACGAAAACAGAAAAAAAAGAGCAAGAAACTTCCAGCAGTACCACCACCAACAACTGGAATGCTGGAATATGTATATAGTCGCTTCTTCTGCTCTTTTCGTCCCAAAAATTGAATTGAAGAAAAAGAAAGAGAAAAGACATGAAATGAAATGAAGGCTTTTCATCATCATCATCCTCCTTCGCCCATCTTGTGCTCATTACGTCCCTATAAAGCTGATGACGCTGCAGATTTCGTAGGACGGTTGTAGGACGCCGGGGCGCCGGCCGCGTCATCGGCGCCGCGGTTCGACTCGGCGCCGGCAGCCGAGAACGGCGTGTTCGGCGGCGGCTTGAGAAACGTCACGGACCGGTCGTCGCGCGGCGTCGTCCCGTGTCCGTCCTTCTCCAGCACCCTGAGGAAGTAGGGTTCCGTCGGGGGTGGGTGTTGCGGGCTCGGAGGGTCCCTCAATTCCCCGTCTGCTTGAAAAGCGTTAAAAAAAACCATTACAGTCGAATCTCTTTAAAATGAAGCGTTCGGGACCTTGATTAGAACAGCTTCGTTATAAACCGAACGACATTAACATAAACAAAAATTTAAAAAAAATTAGTTCGGTGGAATCTCGTTACAACGAAGTGTTCGGGACCTTAATTATAAAAGCTTCGTAATTGATTAAACGAAATGAACATAAAAAATAATAATAACTCAGTACGTTGGAATCTCGTTACAATGAAGCGTTCGGGACCTAATCGATTACAAAAGCTTTGTCATAAACAAAACGAAATCAACATAAACAATTGTTTTTAATCAGTTCCGTTGAATCTCGTTACAACGAAGCGTTCGATCGGGACCTTCAGTAGAAAAGTTTCGTTATCAACGAATCGATATTAACATTTAAAAATTCAAAAAAAAAATCTGTACTGTGAAATCTCGTTACAACAAAGCGTTCGGGACCTTGATTATAAAAGCTTCGTGATACACGAGACGAAATTAACATTAACACAATTTTTCAAAAATTCAGTACATTGGAATCTTGTTACAACGAAGCGTTCGGGACCTTGATTAGAACAGCTTTGTCATAAACAAAACGAAATTAACAAAAACAAAATTTTAAAAACCAGTACAGTACTTGGAAACTCGTTACAACGAAGCGTTCGGGACCTTAATTAGATAAGCTTCGTTATAAACGAAACGAAATCAAAATGAACAAAATTTAAGAAAAAAACTTAGTACAGTGGAATCTCGTTACAGCGAAGCGTTCGGGACCTTGATTAGAATAGCTTTGCTATAAACGAAATGAAATTAACGAACAAAAATGTTTAAAAACCAGTACAGTATATATGTAAAATTCGTCACGACAAAGCGTTTGGGACCTTGATTGGAGCAGCTTCGTTATAAGCGGAACGAAATTTACATAAACAAATTTTCTTAATCAATGCTGTGGAATCTCGTTAAAACGAAGCGTTCATGGGCCTTGATTAGAAAAGCTTCTTATTAATAAACGAAACGATATTAACATCAACAAAATTTTTTCACAAATTCAGCACTGTGGAATCTCGTTACAACGAAGCATTCGGGACCTTCATTAAAAAAGCTTCGTTATAAACGAAACGAAACGTTGCTTCTAGGTTCGCTAAATTCTCTGCAAAAAATATCAAGTTGCTTTTCACTTTTATTCATTTGCATTAATGGAGTACCTTTAGCTTCCTGTGTAGTTATGAATTTAAGTATAGCGTAACACCGTAGAACAGTACAGCACTTTTTATATTTATATTCAATTACCACTAACTCGAAAGTTTCACCAAAACGAAACCGCACATTATTGAAATACACGGTTCCGCGCGGATCAGCTTGTTATTATTGCTGCTGTCCTCTGCTGGACGAGGAGCTTAAAAATTTAACAACTGAACATTTCAAGGCCTGTTTCAACACATGGATCAAAACTCAAAAGAGCTGAGAAGTGTGTACAAAATCGGTGGTGATTACATTAAGAAGGTGTCTGCCTATAGCCTCTGCTTAAAACTAGTGAACATGAGAAAAATATCAAATCCCTGATGCCGTTCACAGATATACAGTAGTAATTTTAAGTCCGCGCGGAAACGTGTAACTTCTCGTATACAAGTTGTACTGTACCTGGGTGGACTATCTCAGCAGCCCCGCTTTCATTGTTGAATGTCCAGTAAGGAAAGTGGAAGCCGATGTAGAGCTCGTAAAGCAAAGCCCCCAGCAGGCATCCAATGTGCGGAACCACCACAGGGATCCAGAAGTAGTAGTCGTAATAGTGGAACAGTCCCGTGCCCCAGCCTGCCATCACTGCAAATAGCCTGTTTAAATTCGTGAGATACGTTGAATGCAAAATAATTCATGTACAGTACTGTACTACACTAACATATGTGTGCATTACAACAAACTCTTGCATGGGGACTTCAGAAAAAAATTCGGTACAATGAATAATATGTTGTAACAAGATTTTCAAAATGTTTGACTGATTGGAAGATTATAAAAAAAAAGTAAACCTTTATTTGTTCAACATATTTCTTTTGTGGCCTTTTCAGATGTTTTTCACTGTTTAAAAGTGATCTTCAAAAAGAAATGTAACCCTTGTGCAGCAAAGCTGGTATACTTTTGCCAAATTTCATCCCCATGATGAGCTGTGCAAATTTTAAAAATTTGATGTTTTAACCAATGCCCACAATAAGTTGGAAGAAGTCCATTTTTTTAAATAATCCAGCAGAAAATTTTGCCTCAAGAATTAAAAAATGCATCACCAAATGGCATGGAAAAAAATCCATGAAGTGATGCATTTTTTCCATGAATTCCCATCATAGGTTTAACATAGGAGATTTCTTTAGACACAGGGATTTTCTGCACCTGGTTTTTCCCCCAACTTAAGCCTGGGAAACCTGGGAGCATTTCAGTGACCTTTGGTCAAATTAAACTAATGCCCTTCCCCATGAAAAATCCTGACTTTGCCACAGGATAGCCAGAAACCCTCTGTCATTCAAGGGGCGAATGTTAATAACAAGTAAATACTCTGAATAGTAGGTAAATGCTAGCCTTTTTCTTGACCAAGTCTTTCTAAGCGATTCCTGCACAGATTTCTGGATGTTCCACAAAAAAGGTTACAATTTTTAATCATCCGCAAGGTTAATCTAGCATACAAACCTTTTCAACGTGAGTTTTGCTGGGTTCAATATTTTTTTTTTTTGGAAATGCTGAATAAATTATGCACTGAATGACACTAAAAAAACGAAATTTTAATTTGACAATAACTGAATTGCAGTAAATGAGGAAAATTAAATTCTGCTAGGTTTTGTATATTTATTTTTTGTAGATTAGCTGCTAATTTTCCACCAAGCTGTGAAGTAATGAATCAAAAATGACTCGTTTCATATATTTGTGCGAAGTGTTTGAAACCGTACAATATTTGGATAAGCTGCAGGAGCTTGCCATTTCCTTTCTTGATTGATTTTATTATATTTACTTTTATGTGCCCTTCATTTCCCTATAATATACTGTATAAGTACTGTACTGTGCATCATGTCGTCGAATTCACCTGGCCGCGAAATCGCGAGCTGGATTGATGGGGAATCCAGAATTGTATCCAAAACTGAGGGCAATGGCGATGACGGCGAGGCCCATGAAGATGGCCCCGAGTTCTCGACGAGCACCCAGGTTCCGCGGGTCCCACATGGCAAACGTGAGGCACCCAAACAGGCAAGAACCCACCAGGACGTCCAACACGCTGCCCATCTGCTGGCCAATGAGGACTCCGCGCGGAAAACTCGCGAACACTTCTGCAGTCACCAAAGTCCTGGGCCAATCATATATTAATTTTAAAAATGTTAAAATTGCATAGTGCATCTCTATATATATGAGACTGGAAACTGGGTCAGGGGATTTCCTTTTTCTCGACAGGTTGCAGAATAGCAGATAACCAAAGTTTTTTTTTCGAGCATTAGGAACAGTTTAACCCTTCCACAGCAGCAGTGCGTGCCAGGATATTTTTGAAAAATCTAGTGCCCGAAATGTAGAAACGAAAAATAAAACAATGCTCATCTACACAACGAAAATTTGAAAAAAAAATTCCTATGCTTTTTTTTTAAATAATGGATGATCTTGACCTGGAAACGTTTGAGCAGAATATTAAACCTTCCTTCAGTTCATTCGTTCTTCTACTATTAGGAAGTATTTCGAGCTTTAAGTACTGTATTATTTATGGCTATGAGTTAATTGTTCTGTATTTTAACATTTCATATTAAATAATTTCAATCATAGAAATTGTGGAAGGGCGCAGGTTCTGAAAAGATGTTTTTGAAAAATTTATACTGTATATACTGTACCCTGTGCCCAGACTTAGAAAAATTTTTATATATACATATATCTTTTATATATTTTTATATATAACATTTATTTTGTTATTCATTTATATATACCTTGTGCCCAGACTGAGAAAAAATTTTTCAAAAACATCTTTTCAGAACCTGCGCCCTTCCACGATTTCTATGATTGACATTATTTAATATGAAATGTTAATGTTATATGAAATGAAATGAAATGTTATAATGTATGTACATAATTTGCTAAAATATAATTAGAAAACCATGTTTCACTGATTATATAAACTTTTTCCCCTAAAAAATCGATTGATGAGCTTAGCATACAAACCATTTCAACATGAGTTTTGCTGGGTTCAATATTTTTTGGGAAATACTGAACCAAAAATTATACACTGAATGAAAGGAAATACTTAAGAGAGGCCTCAGTTTCTCGGGGAGTCGAGAAATTTTAGACGAAAAGTTAATGAGTTTTTCTGGGAGTTTTGCGTGAGAAGTGCGCATTGTCAAAATTAAATCCTTGAAAAAATATGCTGTAGATCCCCATCTGAAAATTGTCAAGACCCCAACATAAATATCTAACATAATTTGCTAAAATATAATTAGAAAACCATGTTTCACTGATTATATAAACTTTTTCCCCTAAAAAATCGATTGATGAGCTTAGCATACAAACCATTTCAACATGAGTTTTGCTGGGTTCAATATATTTTTTGGGAAATACTGAACCAAAAATTATACACTGAATGAGACGAAAAGTTAATGAGTTTTTCTGGGAGTTTTGCGTGAGAAGTGCGCATTGTCAAAATTAAATCCTTGAAAAAATATGCTGTAGATCCCCATCTGAAAATTGTCAAGACCCCAACATAAATATCTGTTTGATGGAGGAAAATTTCTTGTGTTGGGCTGAAAAGTGTAGGGAGGGGGGAATAAATTCATCTTCAAAGAGGTATGTAAAGTGGTTTAAATTCAGCACCTCTCGCAGTTGTGATCGAACTGGCAGTCGACTGCCCAGAGCGCGTCCTTGTACACAAGCCCCACTACACCGGCAGCAATGAGTGCCCCCAGGTATTGGGCGAGCCAAAACACCGGCACGAACGAGAGTCGGATGCGGGCAAAGAGCCCCATGGCGAGTGTAAGAGCCGGGTTCATAAAGCCGCCGCTCACGCCGCCGGTCACCATCACGCCAAAGGCATAGGCGACGCCCCAGGCCGCCGCCACCGACACGAAATCGCCCGCCAACGGGAAGCTCGAGCTTCTCTCCGGGTGTGGTGGCGGCACTTGCGCTGTTCCCTGTATATTGTGTACAGTATACAGTATAATTACAGTTTTTAAAAATATGACCGAAAAATGAATGCGAATAAGAAAAACGCTGATACACGGAGGGGGAGGGGATGAGGAAAATGTGGCTTATTGTTGTGTTTTTGTATATTGTTTACAGCGTCTCGCCAGAATACGAGTCATCAAATCAAAGTACAGTGGCCCCCTGCCTAACAGACCTCTGGTGTATGGGATTTTTGCCTAACAGACCAGCTCTGCAAGCAGTTTTTCCTCCCACCCAACAGACAAAATCTGCCAAACAGACTTCTTTTGGTTTAAAATTAGTGTTGAAAATTGAAATTTTTAATTTTTCATGTAATTGAATTCGTGTAAAGGACTTTTCGTCTAACAGACTTGTCCCTTGCACAAATCAAGTCCGTTAGACGGGGGTTGACTGTATAAAATAACACCGATTGTTTTAGAGCCTCTTTCTTCAGAAAAATATCAACAAATAGATTATACTGTATTTTCAAAAATATTTATTGTTGGACATCAAACGCCTATTGGCAATATGTACTCAAAATTTGACGAGTGCTTATATGAACATCTTGAACCAAGTCAAATTTTAAGGGACTCCCAACATTTTTTACTTGTATAGTTTTTGAGTTAAGGGAATCCTGTATACAGTATATGGCTCAATTTGGGTATGTTTATCAGTGGAAATTATTTTCTGGCTTAATTATACGAACAGTTAATTAAGCCACAGCCACAGGATCATGGAAAAAAATCCTCTGGACATATAAAATATGGGCCAAAACGAAAAAAAAATTTGAAAACTATACTTGTTTCACTGAATAAAAAAATTTGTTATGCTTCAAAAGGTGATCGATGAGCATAAATGCGTGCATATAATGCGCATTCTCAAATTTTACTTTTAAAAAATGCCGTTCCACCCCAAAAATAAAAAAAAAGAATTTTCAGAGGTTGTTATTCTCATTTACTCACTGTTCGGTTGGGAAAGGCCAGTTCCCTACTAACAACTGCCTGTGCAGTGCTGCCGAGTCCGATGGACATGACGATAACACTGGCGAGCAGCTCGCCCAGGAAAATCCTCAGATAGGCGTTCGACAAGTGGATCCGGACTTGGGCTCGGTTGAACTGCTCTCCGTACCACTTGTCCAAAGCAGCCAGCATCCCGCGAAAGTTGGCAACTGTTTCTGCATCTGATCCTTTAATTATTTATCCATTCCATTATCATCATCCATCAGCGTCAATGACTGAGTGTTTTCCAATAAGTCCAGCAGCAGTAGCTGATTCCCTCTGTGCGGATATGATGATGATGATGATGTGATACTTTGTCACATTTAAGCAAGCAGCATCGCTTTTCGGGCTGAATAATAGAGCCAGATTGATGAGGGGTTGAGGGGGGAAAAACAAAGGGAGAAACACGGGCGGGGCAATATTTTATGGAAGGTTTCGATGAGTGGAAGCTAAGGAAGGTGTCATTGAAGATTCTCAGAGAATGTTTTATTATATACATGTTCTGCTGAATATTGCTGCGGATGATGTTCTGGGAAATCTGTGTTACCCCTGAGCGATGATAGATCATCATTATTCTACTTGTATAGATTCATCATGCTTGACATATCCATCAGAATTGGGATTAAATCTCAGGTTCCGTCCTACTTATTGCGGGGATTCAAAGAGGATTGAGGATAGATATATGGTTCATTTCGCGCGGATTTGAAAATTCATGTTACCAACAGCTAGTATAAACTGCTGGAGGTTGAAAACAAAAAAAAATAAAAATAATGGAGCAAATTATTTGTATGAGTTTCCTTTTGATCAGAAAGATGATCAACAAATGCAGAATACAGGTGGACACACTCTCTCTCTCTCTCTCTCTCTCTCTCTCTCTCTCTCTGTCAACAAATAAATTCTCTTGACAACAAATTTTTTGTGGGCCCTTGAATTTTGTTGTAGATATATATACTGAATTTACTCAAGTAACACGCGCCCTTGAGTAAGGTGCTTACAGGGGTTTTTCAGTTGGAAATTTTGCTAAAAACTTATCCCCAAGTAAGACTTGCACCCCAACTTTTAGTGAATCTAAATCCACAAAATTTTGAAGAAAAAAATTGGCTTTAGACGTGAATTGAATAAAAATCTGATCGATTTTCAACTTTTTCAGTATAAACAAGTTTTCTTGTTACATCTGTTCCAAATTTCTCCATTATAATTAAGTATAATGCACATCACATATCTTCCAAAAACTTCTTGAAAAATTTGTACTCGCTTATGATGCGCACCCCTTTTTTTCTTCTGAAATTTGAGAAAAAAGGTGCATGTGGTACTCAAGTAAATACGGATATATATATATATATATATTGATATACATTTTGCAGTGTAACAAAAGATTTTCCAGGTTTCATTGACTTATAGTTATGCAGAAGGACTCTCTATACGCAAAAAAAAAAAATATTTAAAGAATTATTTTGGGGCCCATGATGGGGTTCCCTCCCTAAGTTTCAAGGACAACAAGAGACCAGAAAACAATTTGGCGTTGGGAGAATTTTCTTGTAGAGAACACTCAAGGATTTTTTTTACAGCAAAAGACAGCAACAAAATCCGTTGTTGAGAGAATTTTTTGTTAAGAACCCTTATAACTTTTAGGCAGAGAACCCCAAAAACCCCAATCTTGGGACCCAAATAAATTCTTTAAACTGCAAGAAATGATTGTAGACTAGATTGATGCAGAGAGAGTCCACGTGTACACTTTAAGCCAATGAGACCTGGAGAATCTTGTGTTGAGTACTGCAAAAATATACTTATCAATGTAGAGAGAACCAAAAAACTTTGCGGTAATATTCCGCAGAGACTTTGAAGAATAATCACTGTTTGACCTTGCTGTCAAAACTATGCTCAAGTCAAAAATATCCCCGTGTCAAATTTATTTAGTCCATTCCTATGCGCCCAGCAAATATATGACTTTCCTTGATGAGAAAAAATGTATCATTTAAACCTCTCTAGCTGAAAAACTTTTCCCTTGAGCATCTGTACCTTCAGAAACTCAAATTTAAAAAGGTCTTTTGACTATCATTATTCTTATAAAATGGTTTACTCAAATCAACTTCTCGGTGCCTGCGTATATAAGTGGTATTACAATATTTTGAAATACTGTAGTATGCAGCAAAAACTTTTAGATTATTCAAATGTGATAAATTTACTGTACTGGATGTATGCTCGTATTCCTGGCGACTATTCATTTTTCTAGTTTGTTTTCCCCATTTCAGATTACCCCATTTGCTGCTGCTGACATAAACGCGGACAAGATTGGACAGGAATCGCAAATCATACCTGATGCCCTCACGGTCGAAGAGCTTTTGGCGGGAAAAATGGACGTCGAGTTTGGGATTGAAGAAGCTGTCAAAGCTGCTTGTGAGTTCTGAATCAAATACTTCATCTAATATTATTCCCAATGAATTTTTTATTATATTATATATACAGTCTGTAGAGATTTCGAAGAATATACTGTTCGTCAAATGTAGACTCGGGCCGTTCGAAACCTCCATTATGATAAAAAAGTGTCCAACAATACCGGAGCTATAACATTGATATGATAATAATTCAATATTCAGATGAGGTTTAAGCGTTTAACATACAAAAAAGGTTTATTTTAATACAGTACAGCAGCTTCAAGTCATATTTCGATGCCAAACAAATTGAATTTGTCTAAAGGACTTTTTGTCTAACAGAATTGACCTTTGCAAGAATTAAGTCCATTACACAGGGGTTGACTGCATGTACATTGAGACCCCCACATGTGGACAACTTGACATGCAAACAATTTGATATAGGGACACTTATTTTCCCATAAAAAAATATTTAATAAGGCCCAACATGTGGACACTGGCTCAACATATGGATATTGTGTGATATAATAGCAAATAATTTTCAGGCCAAATTACAAGAAACAGATATTTCCAAACCTAAAATTGATTAAAGAAAATTTCTTTGGCATTTCTCTCAACAATTTGCCATCCATTTTGCTAATAAAAAATTACCTCAAGCATAGAAGAACTTCCTGCTCTCTTTATCACTTGCATTTTTTTTTTACAGAGAGAGCCAATATTTCCATGTACTGCACAGAGGTATCAGTATCCAATGCTCCAAATGCTCATATTGTGTTGAAATATATTGATTGAATCAGTTTCAATTGGGAGAGAATTTTTTCTCATAAAGTTATTATGTATTTTATCCATAAAACACCAATTGAAAATTATATAATGTAAGTGCGGTATAAGGGAAATTGAGACTCAACTTAGGGACACTCTTGATTCACAAATTACGTCCGCATCTTGGGGTCTCACTGTATATCCTAGCCAATTTTCATTGCGCCAAGACTTCGTTAAATTACTATGGACCCACAAAAAAATTTTCAGATAAATCCAGAGGCTTGGACATTGAAGAAGGTCGATGCGATCCCTACGACAGTGGCTGCGTTAATAAAGTACACGGACATTCAGGACAAGGCGAAAGTAATATCGGATCTGGTGGAATAAGTAAGTTATTCGTCTCTCTCTTTTTCTGACATCTTATAAACTTTAATAATCCGCTTTTTTATTCCGTCAAAAATGAGAAAAAATACTGTACGTGAACACGATATAATTTATTTTCTTTCGTTTTATTCTGCGTCTTTTCTGTGTAATGACATCAAATAGGACAATACGTGAGCAAAGGGAACTTTTTCCGTGATCGAAGATTCAATTTATTCGTGACGGGGCTGCTGAGGAACATGGCGATTGAAATCCGAAATTTTGACAACGACCCGCTGTTTTTCAGGGTTTATCGACCGCTGGAAATCGAGTTAGTAATTTTCAAATACTCATTTTCGGTTTGCTGAAAATTGTCTCACGTATGAAGTGCGTGCAAATTAACTTTTTAAAAAAGTATCATTTATGATGGGACAAAAAGATAAATCATCCACGGATTGTGAGATGCAATAAACGTCTTAGACTTGAAGTGAGCTTCTCGATCTGCATTTAATTGGATCCTTTCTTTGATTTTTTTTATTATGGAACAACAGCAAAATGTTGTTGACTCACGATGCATTCCTATATATACTGTAGATGGAAAACTCTAAAAATGCTAATTTGTGAAGCTGATGCACACTATTGTACAATGAAAGTTCAATTGGATTATTTTCAAAGAATATTATATTTTACACTGCAGTACGCGTGATGCTGTTGATTAGAAGTACGAGAGAAATTACCGATGCATGCCTTCAAAATCCTGAAAAATGAAGAAAGACTTGTATGTTGCCTCATGGAACCTTTCTTCCAGCGCAAGATCATTATATATTCTCCTCTCGAGCCGACGAAAATATTTTTTTTTCATTTTGCTGTTACTGTATTTTAAGAGTATTCTACGATCATTACATGTCATCGCGTGAACTACTTCTGCAAAATTCATGCACAGAAAAAGCAGGCTTTTACTATACAGCTGTGTGAAAATATCTGCACTCTTCAGTTCGTGAATACTGTACCTGCGAATATTGTTTCATGTTGGCAATTGATATCTTTTTTTCACGATTTCTTCAAATCCCCCCAATATAAAAAAGGCCCGAGGTTTTCGACTTGACGACGTTCGTATTCGGTCGTCGGTTCGGAGCGACATCTAGTCGCAACCACGGAACGCAGTCACAGCAGGGCGTCACTCTGCTCGAGAAACTCCTGTCGAGGTTCGGAGGAGAAGGCCGGATGAAGAACTCCGGCAACTCCGCAACTACCATGACAATGATGCCGGGTGCTGGTGACTCCTCGATGCCCGTGTCTCAACTGATGCAGCCTGCTGGCGGCACCATCAGCGGCGCCGATGGAGGCGGCGGTGGATTTTTGGGCGGGCGTGGACGGAACCGCCGGCGTGTCGTGGGCGGCGGCGTGCTTCGAGGGCTGAGCAATGTCACCAGGACTGATGATGCGCAGATCCAAGCAAGTTTTTTTTTTGTACACTGCTGTATATATTATTTCGAGTTCATTGTATGGTCGAACCTCCGCAAGTCAAATTTCAAGGAAACCAGCCCATGCATGAAATAAGGAGGTTTTGATGAGTTAGGCCGGAAACAAGCATTTTTGTTTGGGGGAAACATAGAAGAATTGCCAGAAGTTGTAAATGGTAATATTCTGGGCCTCAAATTGCTTCTTAAATGAGTTGACAGGATGCTGAATTGCAAGGCAAGGGTTCATTTACCAAACTAGTTTTTCGCTTCCTTTCAGAACACATAAAGCTATTTTTTTTACTGATTTTCTCTTTCCTGTGTCAAGAGAATAATAGCCAAAAGGCCTCAGAAAATTTGAGTTACCATGTTTGAGAGCTGGGATGAAAAGCCTTCAAACCAGAGAGGTTTTCAATGCATTGTTTCTCGGGGAAATTGGACGGGGACTTGAAAAAATCGACTGAGGAGGTTCGAGTTATTGAGGTTCAACTGTAGCAGTACAGTACTGCATTATAAGGACAATTTTGACGGGGCATTAAAATTCTCTAACTTTGTGGGTTAGAGCAGCTTTAACATGGAATATGCTGAGTACTCCGAACAATAAGTACAGCATATAGTGGGTTTTATATGCATGAGCTGTTGATCGACATATACAGTACAGTACAGTATTTTCAGAAGTTGAGAAGAAACATCACACCAGCTGTTGATGGTTTATTTCAAAGAAAGTGTAGGGTTCAAGGCTAGATATTTATGAATCAATGGAGTGAAGAGTGCCTCTTTCACACAAGTTAAGGACATATAAAATGCGGTTTTGAGAAATGGCAGAGCCCGGAAGTCCGGAATGATAGGCTGATCAGGCGGTATTTAATTTGGAATGTGTCGAGAACCAGTATATACTTCCTTCACTGTAGTTGCTACATGTGCAGACAGGCAGAACTATATGAGGGGTCTAACAAAAGTTCTCACAATAGAAATTTAAATGGTATATAATTGAGCTGAATAAATTATTCTTTAGGGAAAACATATTCTTTGGCACAAGAAAAAAATCAGCCCTGTTTGACAAATTTCTTTGAATGTTTTGCAAAAGTCGCCCTGGCAGAGTTCCACTCTCCACTCAAAAGATGAGGCGCCCTTCCTGCAGATTTTGTTGTTCTGCAGGAGGGGCGCCTCATCTTTTGAGTGGAGAGCAAAACTCTGCCAGGGTGAATTTTGCAAAACATTAAAAAAAATTTGTCAAACAGTGCTGATGTTTTCCCTAAAGAATAATTTTTTCAGCTGAATTATATGCCATTTTAATTTCTATTCTGAGAACTTTTGTTAGACCCCTTGGTTTAGGGTGCACCAGAATAACACTGCAGAAATAATTACTGTACTTCTCAGACTTAGCCCATAAATTTGAATATTCACACTTCAGCATATATTGGATCTCATATTTCAATTACAGTAGTAGACGTCAGTGTTTTTTTTTTTTAACTTTATAGAGTGGTTATACAGAAAATAACTGTGCAGAAAAAATCCCACAGAATCTGCCCTTCTTGTCATGAAAAGAAGTTCAAGAGGGGAAAAAACAGGCATTTCAGAAAAAGTGCATATTGCTATATAGTATATTGTACAGTACTTCACACAATTTATAGAAACCCCCTAAAAGAAAAACAAAAAGTTAGCATGCTTCAGAAAATAAATTAGAATAAACTTACAATATGCTTCATGTTGAATTTTGTTCATACAAGATATACTGAACCTGTTCAAAAATATATTAAATCATTAAATATTCTCATTTTGCTTTACATTTTTGGCAAATTATTTCCATATTTTGAGTTCTCTTCCATGGAAGCCGGGCAGATTTTTTGAGTTCAAGGACGTGTAGATAAAAGACGTCATCCATATGATTGGGGCATCCTCATGCCAGCTATATAGATCCTTACTGTAATATCATGTGTATTTATATACACTTCCAAAACTTGGAAACGGAAATAAATTTGAGCAGGCCTTCGCTTCCACCCATGATGCCGTCAAAGCTGTTTTCAGATTTTCTGAGGCTAAGAACGGAGTTGAGCAAGAGAAATGTAAATTCGATCACAAGACGGCAATCCGCATTTCTATCGTCATGACGAGAAAGAAAAAATCATGCTTCGCCGAGTTATATAGAGCGAAGGACTTTCCTCTTTCACGATCAATAAATAAATTGGAACCATGAAGAAAACATGCAAAATATGTGATCATCAGGTACTGGGGCCATCGTCAACGATGGTACGATCTGACGTCGCATTGGGCCCATTGCTGCTGGAGCTCAAGCTGACACTCAGCCGCCGACGAGGATTTTTGCGGTAAGTAGAATAAGTCTACATGTGTATTTTTTGCTTCTCTGCTGCAATTGTTAATTTGAGCTGTGACCACCCAATGATATATGGGCGCCACCCACATGACAAACCTGAGCGCAAAGACGACAGAACATGTTTGCATATGATATTTTACTGCAGTTTGTATTTTAATACAGTTAAACTTTCCTAGGTCGAAATTCAAGGCAAAAAATATTCGATTCGGAGAGGTTTCCGGTTGAGGGAAATGAGTGGAGTATATTTTGTTGTGGAAAAGAAATAATATCTACATCAGGAAATTGCAATTGGTGATATTCTTGGCCATTAATTGCTTCTTAATTGAGTTGACAGGATGCCGAACTTGGGAGAATGGGTTCGTTTGCTCAATTAGTTTTTCACTTCCTTTCAAAACACATCCAAATACCCAAATCACTTTTTTTGCTTTTTTCTTCCAATAAAATAATAGCCAAAAGCGCCTCCTGAAAATTTGACATATGGAGGTTTTAGAGGGGGTGGGGGTGAAGCCTTTGAGTTTGGGAGGTTTTTAATGCATTGTTTTTGAGGAATTCAAACAGGGATTTTAAAAAAATTTGACATGGAAAGGTATTTGACCCAGGGAGGTTTGACGTATTGAGGTTCATACTGTTTCTCAATTGCATAATTTCACTCATCACTTTGCGTATTTCTAAACATTCCATGATGTATTTTTGCTGATGGTGTTCAGCAGAAGATTGCGGTTAATAAGTTTTCCATATCCTTGTGTATGTAAAGAAATGTTTGCGTACGTCTTTTTTTTTTTTTAGGAATACCGCATTTATTTGAGTACCACACGCACCTGTTTTTCTCATATTTATAAATAAAAAGGTTGCACATCACAGGGGGGTACTACAGTAATTTTGTTTTGTTTTAGAAGCTTAGGTGTGCATACTCTATTCTGTACTCTATTCAAATGCGAAATTTTGGACCAATTTCATCAGAAAGACTTATTTTCATGGAAACGATCAAAAAGTAGTTGAATTCAGGTTTACTTCATGTCTAAATTGAAATTTGGGTGCTTCGACTTTCGAAATATTGCAGTTTCAAATTCACACTAAAAATGGGGGGGGGGGGGGAGCCTCTTCCTCAGAAATACAATTCAATAAAAATTTTAGCCTAACAAATTCTGGGTGCGCGTCTTACTCTGAGGGCACGCGGTACTCGCGTGAGTAAATGAGGTAGTGCCACAAACTGATCCAGAACACTTAACTCATGTATGGAGCTTATACGCTCATACTCGTACAGTAGTTGCGCCCAGCAGGTGTTATGCATTTGCCTCTGTGCATCCTGCGTGAGATTGAATATGCATTGTACGGCTGAATTGAGGGGAAAACGGATGACCACACTTTTGATTGGAATTTCCAGGCGCCGAAGCGAGGAGGACAAGATCGCAGTTAGGATCGGGCACATCAACTTGCAAACGTTCACCTACATAGACGACAACGGATCGTCAATGGCCGACTTCAAAATGTCCCCGTGAGTTCTGGGTTCTCCGTCTCATTTTTTTCAAAACTATATCATAATACAGGTAAACTCATTCTAAAACAATTTTATGTACTACGATTTGCTCTTTTAAAAAATGTTTTTCGCCCCATAGGATTTCTCTACCCATGTTATAGGGGTTCTTCTCAACAAATGATCTCTGAAAGTGATTTTTCTGGTCCCTATATAGCTTGGATCTTGTTTAGGGGAGTGTCCACCTGTAATGTAATTTTTACGCAGGCAGAATTATTCGAGCATAAATAAATTGGATCACGAAAATATTTCTAATCGTAAGCCAAGTTTTTCCTGGGAGCTCGTTGACAGAAATGACGTTCGAACTGTTTCACCTCCGCCTCGCATCAAATGCAACCAGCTTCCACTCATTCAAAATACCGTAATGAACTGTACACAGCTGTTGAGCCTTCGAACTGAGGACAACAGCGAACGCTGCGAACCTGTGAAGGCTTTCTAATTGACCACCAATTGACAGAATTGTCTGAGTCAGGCAGTACTGATGTAGATCATCATCGAATATGAGATACCAATCGAACAAGACGCGCCCTGACTCTTTTGTCTAGCCATCTATTGATTTTACAAGCGTCTTAAAGCTCAAGCGAATACGTACGTACGATAATGACCATGATGTGGTTACTGGTATACCCGCAGGATTGACATAGACCGGATCGAAATGACGCTGCCGGAAATCCGTCGTCTGCAACAACAGAGCACCATGCGTGACACCACTCGTGACATCGTGCAAAAGATCTTCTCGACCAAGGGCTTCCTCGCTGCACGACTAGAAGAATACGCGAGAAGCGCAATGACGTCCAGTGTGAGCGGAAGTGACAAGAAACATCCCATGCGCGGGGTGCTGCAAACAATCGAGTATCAATGATTGCGCTTTCGTAAATTATGCGAAGAACATCGAACAGGAAGAAAGAAAAAAAAAGCAAGGTAATTCGCTCAATTTGTATCCATTTTTCCGATAGCAGCTGTGTCACAGATACAGTAATCGTCTCTCCTTCATTCCCGCAGCAAATGCGAAGATCAACCATCCGTGGATGCTTCTTTTTCTCGTCAAGGATTTTATCGCGAAGGGACTTTCGACTGGAAAACTATTTATTTGTAAAAATTGACGGAGGCACACTTTTTCCATGGCGAACAACGTTCCTCACGAAGGTCACTCGGTGTAAAGTCAAGCTGCTTGAATCGGTGCAATTGAAGCAATCTCGCGAATTGAATATTTACGAATCGTTGCTTGTCTCATTTTGATTTGAAATAAAAATGTTATTTTTCTACGAAGGTCGGTTCATTTACAATTGTTGCAATTAGCTGGGATTCAATCGTAACATCCGAAACTAAACGCTTCTCCTTCAACCACAACTTCAACATCTTTCGAAAGCGTTACAAGAAATACTTCTTTTTCAGATCTCAACTCCGACGCGAAATTCTCTCCTGTACACTGGATGGTTTCTGTTGAATCAAAAAAAAAATTACACTTGCAGGGGGGACGATATGCCTTTGATGCGAAAAACAAAACTTTTCATGAACAATGAAGGCAGGAACGACCTAAAACCTCCGCAGTTTTTGGTCTACATGGTCGAATGAACGTTAACACGTTTCCAGCAATCATCACGGAGCTGTGGTGGCTCCGTCAGATACAAGGCTTTCTTCAGGTTTCACAATTTGGTAAGTCACCAGGTATTCCGGGTATGCCTGGAAACGCACGGAAGAATAAGCTAATGAAATACCTTGAAAGATAATTAAGGCAATCAATTATAGGGTGGCCTCACGCAAAACCTGGTAACGGAACTTATCTCGATTTTTCTAAAAAACGTTCAACACACATCAGAATTAGAAGTATAGTAAAATCTCTTTACAACAAAACCAATGACCCGCAAACAAATTTGAGCAAAAAATGATCCGCAAATCTACATTATGCTGAAGACTTTTTAATCTGTTTGGGATTCAATAAAAATCCTGCTCGTAAGAAAATTGGGACATGCATGGTAAAGCTAGAATAACATGTGATCCTGATTGATAATCATGTAAATTCAAAATTTTTTCCCTTTCTTCAATTTTGATGTCAGCCAAACGAGATTCGACTCTATTTCGTTTTTCATAGAAAAATCGCCAACGGTGAGTAATTCCCAGAAGTTCCAATACTATTTACACCATTTTCAATTCTGAAAATTATTCCAGTCAACTCTCTCAAGAATCATGATGTGCATAAGTTCATTTGATACATCAAATGTTCTTGAACAAACCATGTCACTTTTTTAAACCTCCACTGCGGTTATAATTTTCTTCAACGTAAAAATCGGTGATTTTCAGCAATAAGCAAAATTACACTGCGCACCTGCTCAAAAACTTTCACGGTTTCGATCTGGCTAGATATAATTTGAATTAATTTTTTAAAAACGCGTCAATTTTCTTCAACAGAATAACGCTGATGTCTATGTAAAACGACTCATTTCGTGTCGATATTAGCTAAAGGTGGTAAGCATTTTTGAAGCTTCGATTTCATTAATTACAGATTAAAATGAGATTAAATCTCTACTTATTTGAAAGGTGAGGAAGAAATTAATTTCTCAAACATCAAAAAGTATTAGCAACCATTTACTAACGCACATGCAAAATTCTGCGTATATACTCAATAAAACAAGTACCTAATGTTCATTAAAATCTCGGTACAACGACGCTGTTGGGACCAGTAAAAACCTTCTCTATAACCATGAATTCGTTATAAAGCGATTTGAATAAGGTTATTGCTATTGAGCCGGGACCTGAAAAATGACTTTGTCGTGACGAATAAGTCGTTATTACGAGATTTGTTGCAAATAGATTCTACTGTACTGACTAAACCTTGAAAAGGGAAAATCGTCTAGTAAATTACTAATGGTCAAATAAAATTCACCTGTTCTCCTCGATACACGACATACTCCGGGAAGGACAAACCGCCTTGCGACGGCCGCCCGATCACGGAATGGTGCCCCGGCGGAGCATGCGCCATTTTCATGGCACTAAATTGCAAGAAAGACTTCCCGAGAGTCACGCGGCAAAGCAACATTTGCCTGCAAAAAAAAACAGAAAAGGAAATTACAGAAAACCGAATGGATAAGATTTCCAAATGTCAACACACACACACATACAAGAACGAATTGACCGTAACTCGAATCATTCCAACTCACCTTTGACAAACATAACACGATCTGTCCTTGTGGGTGGGGCAACCTGTCCCCCCTCCAATCCCGTACACATACTGATTGCTCTTCGAGGAATTTTCCGCGAAGTAAATCCCTGAAAGGAAAAAAAACAGTCGAATATCAAACACATCATCCCAATTGCGGAAACAAACACCCCTCCGAGACGACAACAAACTCTTGAAAAAAAACCTTTCTGCAGAATTCTCCCGAAATTTTATTCAAAATTATCGTATTTCCAGAAGACTTTGAGAAATTCCTGCTCGACAGCGTGGATTTGCTTCCACAAAGAATTTTCAACACTATTTAAACCGTCCATAAAATATCAAGATGACTGACTCATACTTGAACTCCAAGAGATGTTCAGCCTTTGTCACAAGGTAAATGCTTGCAAAAATACCCCTTCAAACGAAGTGATTGCCATCAAATTTTGGATCTACACCTAGTTACGTTAACTCTTCAGGGGATATCCTCCGCTTGCATGGGGATTTGGGAGTGGAGAAACATCCAACTGCTCAAATAGTTTACTTACTTCTCACCCCCACCTCCTGAATTTTGGGAATGTGTGCACCTTCTTGAAGGCAGCATGAAGTTGTCAGGAAAATTACTAGTCCTGCAACCCATTTATCATTAAAAACAGCTCTGGAGAACAACAGCTTACTGGAAAGAGTTGCCCAACAACAATTTTTTCAATATTTTCATTCAAATGGTTCTTGTGCCCAAGCCATGGCACTTGGGGCCAAAAAATTAGTACCATTCGAAAGGGAATGAAACAAGCTTTCATTTAGCCGCTTTTCATTACCACAGCTCAATTTGCTACAGAGCTACAGTTTTCCAAGTCAAAAATAGCTTCTTCTTTTGCCGACCCTGTAGATACAGTATATGGTACAATATATAGACTATCGATTACTCACCAGCACCAAACATGCCGCCAATGTAAGCATGGCGCTCATCGAAACCCTTGTGCACAATCGCATTGATGAAAGGTGAGCCATGGAACAGCATTCGTTCATTCGCGTGTCCATTATTCTCGTCCGCTACCTCCTTCTTGCGATGCACATAACGCTCCCACAACCGCCTGTTTCTGATTTTGCTGATTTTCACAACCTTATAGCGTACGAACACACCACCTGCTGCCCCATTGTCCTTATGCTCTCGTATCGTCGTCTGCAGCTCTTCTTCCACAGCCTCGTAATCCCGGGACTTGGGAGGAAGCTCGACCAATAAAGTGCTGCTCGTCGCACCGCTCCATGAAACTATGGGATGAATTCAGAGAAAGAAAAAATTAAATTTATCCCCGCTAAAATGTAAGAAAAAATTTTTTAAACGCAACTCAAGATAGAATTTCAAGACGATGTTGCTCGAATCAAAATAACAGTCGAACTAACTAAATTAAAACGAATCTGGAAGAAAAATCTCGGACCTAATCGAGCTTTAAAAAAAAACCCAAGTGACACCTACATGACGATGAAGAAACTTGCGACCTAGATGATCTCGCTGAATTTATTCACCGACGAGCGAAATCAACTAGTTCGGAAGTTTCCTCGCCACCATTTAGGTGTCACTTGTTTTTTTCCCCAAGCTCGATTACGTCCAAGATTGGTCTTTTACATTCGACGTGACTTACGTGAGCTACATTGACTTAGGCTCGTTTAAATTGCGTTAGCTCGAGTATCATGTTTGATCCAAGAGACATCTTGAAATTTCACGAAGCAAGCTTCAGCGTTGAAAGGGATACTTCTCCGATAGGCGGCTACGTGGATTCAACCTCGACAAAACAGTAACTGCTCCGATTTATCGGGCGTTTCGTGGTGAGATTTACTTGGATATTTAGACACACCGACTGTTCCTCCCTTTTTTCAATTGTAGGGGAAAAACCGAGCAAGACAAAGTTGGAGGTGAACAAATTTAACCGGTGCAGCGATTGACTAAAGTTGTAAAATAAATGAAAATTCGTAGGCACCTCCTCCAGGAGAGCCAGGAGCGTCGCTCAGCGCGCCGACAGCCGGGGCAATCCTCTGAACACCTTTTAGCAATCGATGCCTGTTGCCATAAGCAGTTACGCCTATTTGCTTCAAATCCTCATGATTCATCTCGGCGAGGATGTCCAACGTTATTTGCTCCTTATCCAGAAGTTCTTGTAGGTGTTCCAACCCCAAACTGTGAAGAAATCAAGTCTCACTCAAGATCAAGATTGAAGAAACCCGAATACTTCAGACGCGTCAAACGGAAGGAAAGTTTACAACTATTTCAGCATCAAGATTTTAAACAGAAAATCACTGAATATCCCGCAATACTGTTCATCGCCCAAACTGGAGAACAAGAATTATCTCAAATCTAGCAGAATAAAAAGTCCCGAGATCTTGAACAGTACGAATATAAATTAAATCATGTTCTATGAAATTGCCGGAGACAACATTTTCCTCCATGACATAAGACATCACAGCAATGGCATTTTCTTTTTCATCAATCATGTCGTGCAAATATTCTCATCTTCAGAGAAACCAGAAGGCCTCGTTTTATCAAACCCCATGGACATCCTTCACACGTGCTGACGTTCAACACTCACACGGATAACATTTTACAAGCGAAGAACAAGAAAACGCGATTACTGAAACTTAATACAGTATAGCGGACACACAATGGATGGGCTTTGAAAGAAACATTTGAGGCAAATAATCCCAACAACGACCAAATATGCCTCCAATAACCCATCACCAACGTCCAGGGGTATCGTTGAAAACGTGCAAACAATTTCGCCCACAACACGAAATACCTTTGCAAAAACGTCGCCATCGTAACATCACAACTAAGCTCCACGTTCTGCATCTCCCCGTCCGAAAAGTCCAAGCACCCGTCCCCGGGATGTGGCATCCCTGAGGGCAAAATTGGCGGGACAGGCAACACCACAATCGGCGCCGCGGCTCCGTCTCCCGGCATGCCCGCTATCGCGCTGATATCCGCTGTGCTGATACCCGCCAACAATGTCCCACTGCAAAAAAAATAAGTTTTTTATTTTTATTTTGAGTTCTTCCAGTATTTTCTCATGTGAAATTCATGCTGCATTTGATGCCTCAAAAGCTCGGTAGGACAAGTGGACACTTTCTCGAAAGATCTTGTCCACAGCGATTCTCTTCAGATAACCATTATTATTTTTTTTAGCGAGCTTGTTAGCATGCTCCATTAGTCTTCGGGAAAAGACATGAAAGGGGGACGCAAAACCCCAATCTTGGCCATTTCTTCGCCAAAAGTGTCCGAAGAGCATTAAAAAACTGGAAGTGTATACTGTATTACGTTCGATTCACACTCGGCGTCTATCCTCAGTTATACTGATAGTGACGTCCTCAGTGCTTGACTAGAAACTCAGTGATACTACCCCTACCGAAAATAATCATCACGCTCACCCATTGCCATTAACCACAGCCGAGGCGGTCGCAGCACTGGCCGCCGTGGTCGCCGGCGCATTCGCCATCGAGTCCTGCAACAAACACTTCACATCCTCCGCAGTCGCCAAGTTAAGCGGCGTCTGACTTTCCTGGTTCTTCAAATACGGATCCGCACCATGAGCCAATAACAAGGCGCACAATTGGGTACGTCCCTTTTGCGCTGCTTCGTGCAACGGCGTGAAACCCCATCGGTCCGTGGCATTTACCAGCGTGTCATACTTGATGAGCAGAGCAGCAATGTCCAGGTGTCCGTAGGAAGATGCGTTGTGAAGCGGGATGAGACCGCCCTTGTCTTGAGCGTTCACGTCGGCGCCGTTTTCCAACAGATATTCCGCCACTTCCAGGTTGTTGTATCCAGCGGCGAGGTGGAGCGGAGTCGAGTTGCGGCCAAGGGAATCGCGGCAGTTGATGTTTTCGGGCGAAAGAAGACGCTTGACTCGGGTCAGCTGGCCTCGTTTCGCCGCGTCCAAAAGGGCGGCATCACCGCGCAGCAGGTCCGCAACCTCTTCGTCACCTTTTGAAAAAAATAATAATGAAATTACATTCAAATCAACACCTTCATATTTTCCGCTGACACTACAATGGATCAATAAAACTCCAAATTTCAACGTCCATCGCTGTCACCCAAAAATTACAGACGGTATTTTCTATTTCGCACTGCATCTCTTCAGGCTTCCCGTAAAAATTAATTGAGTAGTCGAAAAATTAGTGTTTTTGCGTGCTATAATTTTTGATGAAGCATTTACATGAATGCACCGAATTTATTAAGAATACTGCATTGTACATGTAAATCGAGTATATTCATCGGGAAACGGGAGAACACGAAATTAAAATCTGTTTTAATTATAAAGAAATAGAAAAATTCCGAGCGGAACCTAATCAATCCACGTGTGGTCATGTAGAAATGCTCTTGGGCACATAGGGAATTTTTTATAGCAATTTACTGCATGAGAAAGAAAGCATTTTTACCTGATTTTCAATTCACTTACTGTTCAAATATCACGTTGTTTCAACTAAATCGTTCTTCCACGATGAATTTCGCATTAAAAGAACTGAGAAAAACAAGCTTTTTTGGTACGGTGGCAAGAAAAAACTTTCGTATGCTTGCTAAGCATTGGAATCGATGTCAAGTAATGTTGAAAACGATAGGAAGAAAAATTCACGACATCTCAAAGGAATTTGCGAAATAACTGCCAAAACGTAAACAAGCCATGAAAGAGCAAAAAACCAAGATAAGAAATCACGGATTTACCTTCTCGAACGAGGTCAAGCGGGGCCTGGCCCTCGCGGTTCTTTTTCGCTGGGTCGGCGCCGTGCTTCAGCAGAAGCTTGACGATGTCGTACTTGCCCTTTGCGGCGGCTTCATGCAGCGGCGTAAACTTCCACAAGTCCGGCACGTTGACCGACGCCCCATGGCGCACTAGTAACTGGCAAATCTCCAGGTGTCCGTAGGAGCAAGCGTTGTGCAGAGCTACGAGCCCACCTCGGTCTCGTGCGCTAACATCGGCACCGTGGCTCAACAGATATTCCACCACTGCCACACGATTGTAGCCCGCGGCGAAATGCAACGGCGTCGAATGTCTGCACAGTATAGTCCAGAAAGGGGGTTTTCAAAATACGAAAATAGAGCAAAGCTACGGATTCGGTGAAACCCTATGGCCCTTTTGTCATCCACCAGTGTGCAGTATAAAGGTAGACTCTCTCTCTACAACGAAACTCAGGGGACCACAAAAAATTCGCAGTCGAGAGAATCTTGTCGTAAAGAGACCTTATTGAGTGGGTGGAGAACCCTGGGTGTCCCTCGGGGACCTCAAAAAATTCTATATACACAGAAATGTTTCGAATAGAGTGTACCTGTATTTACTCACTCGGTCATTGGTGGATTCAGGTGCATGGAATATGTAATACAGTCGATCCTCTTTAGATCCCATTTCAAGGGACCAGCAAAAAATTCGAGTTCGGAAAACAAGCATTTTTGTTAGGGAAATGAACTAATAATTGCAGATTATTGAAATTGGCGATACGCTGGGCTTTAAATTGCTTCTTGAATGAATTGACAGGAAGCTGAAGTGCAAGGAAAAACACTTGATGCTACATTTTCATTGTTTTTTTTTTCTTTCCCGTGTCAAAAGAAATAATCGCCAAAATACCTCAAGGAAATTCGAGTAATGGAGGTTTGAAGGGGAAAGCCTTCGAGTTAGGGAGATTATTAATGCATTGTTTCAAGGGAAATTCAGACGCGGATATGAAAATAATTTGCCAACGAGAATATTTAACTTAAGGAGGCTCAATATATCGAGGTTCAACTGAATTAAATGCGTCCATAGCAACTAACATTATGAATTTACGCTAGAGTCATGAGCAAACCAAATCCAAACTACAAGATTTCCAATAAAAACTTCGCAAGACTCTCAGACGACAGCGTTTTGCTTGACGAGACCTTACATCTGAGTGAAGCATTCGAGGGACTTGAAAAGGATGACGGGCCTAAGCAACAGCAAAGATGCATTGAAATGTATTCCTCGAAATCAACTTTATCCCTAATTTTACGGCGTTCTGATGCATCAAAATCGGTTATAAGAGGATGCAGAAATACTGACCGTCCTTCTAAATCTCGACAATTGACGATTTGCGGATGAGCAGTGAGTATTTTCTTCACCAGCTCCAAATCTCCTTGCTTAGCTGCCTCGAGCAATTGCGACTCCGCTTCTAAACCACCAACACAAGGTACAACCGTTCCAGTTGACGCCGTGGACGACGCCGAAGAAGACCCGCTGCCTCCGCCTACTCCACCACTGATCAGCGAAGCCGAAGGCGATGGCGATGAAGACCCACTACGCGACAGCAGTACCGACGGGGATGACACTGTAATCGGTGGCGGGTTCACGGAACCCACGGGCACCGATGCTTCGTCATCCTTCATCAACACTTTCTGAGCACTGTCCGTGGCCAGTTGGATCGCCGTGTAGCCTTGCAACGACACAATCGCCTTATCCACACCGTAGTTTATAAGCAAACGGCACGCAGCTACGTTTCCATCGCGTGCGCATCGGTGCAAGGCTGAAAAGACGTTTAATGCAAAAAAATTTTAAATCCAGCCCAAGTTAAAAATGGGTCTTTTCAAGAGCACCCAATTTTCTTTTTCCTCTAGATAGGTGTCGCCACAAATATCATACATCCCGGCAGATCAGAGTTAGGTTATACAGGTGGACTCTATCTACATCAAAATTCAAGGGACCAGAAAAAAATTCGTTGCAGGGAATCCCTATAAAATGGGAAGAGAACCATATCGGATAAAAATAAGATAGTAATACAGAAAAAATTGTTGTAGTCAAGATCATTGCAGAAAGAGTCCATCTTTACTTAGGATACTAGAGGTTTGTTTCGGCGATTTATGGCTAGTGTTACTGACTTCGAGGGCCTAACATTCCAGAAATCAAGATAGTTCATTGAAGTGAGAGAAAAAATTCGTCAGATTACATCAACGCGCCATGAAAAAAAAAAAAAAGACGCAAACCTGAACTTTAAAAAGATGCTAATAAGTGTGTATCGACAAGATTCGCGAATGTATCATTAGCGGGCGGCACAAAAAAATACAACGAATTCTGAAGCTCAACTCCCGAACCACTGTAGAAATGTCAAGATAGGAGCCAATCCGCCAGAATGGAAATTGAGAAGGAAACTTTCTAGGAACTGGTGACATCAACGTTCGTCGAATAAGAATATACATTACTTGAATGGGTTTCACTGAACAAATTCTTTTCTTCAATATGGGAGACACACACGAACGATCTTCATCCGTGAATGCAAAAAAAAACCCAGATCCTCGAAATAGGAGCAAATTTCCGCAAAATTATGCACTAAACAGCTCTTATTTGCCCCAACAAAGACTAGTGAAGTCGGTACAACAATGAGGCTTCTTGAATTTCACGACGTCCACAACTCACCAGTCTGACCGAAGCCATCCAAGGCATTCGTTTTTGCACCGTTCCGAAGCAGGCACTCCATCACATCCAAATGGAAATGGTCACCAGACACGTGCAGAGGAGTGAGCACTTCTTTGCTTTTCTCGTTTGGATTTGCTCCCTTTCGCAGCAGCAGCTCCACCACTTGCTTTCTCCTACTCCCCAAAGAACTCACGGCGCAATGCTATGATTGAAGGACGAAAAACAACAAAACAGGCAGACATGCCCTATTCAAACAACTCGTCGACAAACAAATATACCTTGTTCTCCCGATGGCGTTTCCTTCTAGGCAAACTGATCTACAAACTACGGCTGTGATCTAACTCTTCAGTTCCAGCCGTACTCAATAAAACTTTTATTGCGATTATCAAGACATTTTTCGAAAGAAAAACTCATGCTGATGACATCAGGACAAGGGATCGCAGATGATTTTAAAATAACTCACCAAGGAGGTGTCACCAGTGTAAGGGTGCTTGAAATTTATCACTTCTGGGCTAATGGCTTTTTTGACACGCTGTACGTCCGCTTGACGACAAGCATCCAACAAGCAATGACCCTTGAATTCATCTGAAAATACAGGAAGAAACTCTGAATCCTCTGGAGTTTGACACATCGAGGTGAACATCAGTTAGTACAGTACAGTATAGTACAGTAATTCACTAGAATATGACAGAAAATACAGCGACTGATCAGAAACACGAGAAATCGGAAACTTTTCCAATGATTAGGGTTAAAATGAATCAACACAAACTGTACCTGCGAAGTACATCGGGACATGCATCAATATAACTTTTGACAAAAAATCAATAACACTGACATACTGAACAGCCTTAGAGCAACTAATGCTCATTCATCTCTCATAACTTGAATAAGGCGAAATCTTTTTTAATTCAACACTCAACCTTGCTTTACAGGACGTCAGACAGCAAATCTTTTCAAAATTAATTAGCTGAATACTGCATCACTTAAACAAGCTTAACACAACTCCAGGAACAAAACTGAACCCAAATCCGACCGCAGAACTAACAAACTCCAACCAATGCAAATAACAATTAAAGAATAATCAGGCAACTCCTATGAAATTAAGCAGGAAATCATCAAGTATGGGACATCCAGAGTTGAAGTGAGAAGGATTAATTCATTCAAAACGTAGAACAACGCAAGCTTTCGAGAACACAACGATTCAATCTTCAGTTCCGAATCATCGAATTGTCTACGTTCTCCTGTAGATGACTGATGCGCCCGACGAAGAAAAAATCTTGATTATTCTCCATTAGTAAGCCATAGCAATTCTTTCAATTTTAAATCAACGGGAAAATGAAATACAGTGCTCAACGATCATCCCTATTCCAACACATCAGACAGACACTCCGACAAATGTCGCAACAACCATCTACTCAATAGACTCTACTCACAGGCCAGCTTTTCTTGCAGCTCTGGACTTGGGGCCAGATCAACCGGAGACTTTGAGTGACAGTTGAGCAGCGTGGGGTCCGCACCGTGGGCCATCAGTAACGAACAGACCTCCGTGCGCATTTTGGAAGCCGCTTCGTGCAAAGGCGTGAATTGCCACAGATCCATCGCGTTGACATTTGCACCAGCACTGATCAACAGCTCAGTCACTTCGAAATGCCCATACGAGCAGGCATTATGCAATGGCACCAAACCCCTGTTCAAAAAATTAATGAATGCGTAAAACATGATACAGTACCTAAAACGAGCTTCTCAAAAGCTTTAGAATGCGTATGCTGGTAGACTCTAAAACAAAATTCGGATAAAGCAAAAATTCGTCATACAGAGAAAATCGTTGTAGAAAAGATTGCTGTAGAGAGAGAGAGAGAAGAGCGAAAGAATGTACCTGCATCATTAATATGGTAGAATGGTACAAAACACCTTTGTTCAAAATCTACTATGAATGACTCACTGAATGCATTCAATTTCACTAAGTTATGTCAAATTTATCATATGGTAATTTAATTTCACTGTGATAAACGTTATGTGAATCATATGAAGCATCGTTCTCGTCCTCGTAATTTAAGAAGTAACAGATGATCACACAACGTCACTTCGACAAAGATTCATCCAGTACTCGCAAATTACCTCGTGAGTAACTGAACGTAGCGAAAAGCAATGATTAGCGGAATTCAGAAAATCAAAAAGCTTTTTTCGTCTAAACTCTAAAGCAATGTTCCCCATCCGGTGGGCCGCGGACCGCCGCCGGTCCGCATAACCTTTTTGCTGGTACGCGGAAAATTGTCTGCAGTATGATAAAATTATCAAAAGTAGCAATGAAGTCTATTATCTTTTATCTGAAATTTCGGCAAGACAATGGCAGTTGAAATTATTTGATGAAAAATAAAAGCTGGCTTTTCTCTTATCAAAACTTCACACAAATTTTCACATGCTGAAAGAAATTATTCTAATTTTAGCATTCTGAGAAACCTTTCTTACAGCCCACTCTCCTGATTTTTGGAGAAATTCCCCCATAGCTGCTTCCCTGGTTCTTGATTTTTGAATAAAAAAAAAGCAGAAAAAAAAAGATTTTTAGAGACCTGCCTGAAAGTCTTTTAAGCCAAACCTTTTCGGATCTGCAAAAATTTAGTGAAACTTTACTTGTCCGCAAAATTTTCATGGAAATTTTCCAGTACGCGGACCCAACATGTTGGGAAACACTGCTCTAGAAATCAAAAGCATCTAATTCGAACAAATACCAGATTGCGATCAACGTAACGCTGCGGTAAGAAGTATGCTTCTTTTAGTATATCAGATCTGAATCCGAATTATTCAACACTGAACGCGATTAAAGGCATTAATTTCAAATGAAAACGTACAAGCGCTCAATCCTAACAATGAAACGTTCATTGACAAGATCCCTGCAAATGAAAATCACTTACCCTTTGTCTTTAGCATGAACGTCGGCACCATGTTGCAGCAAAATCTGCACAATTCTTGTCCTGTTATAACCTGCAGCCAGGTGTAACGGTGTAGACCGACGACCATCCGCGGCATGGCAATTGACATTCAAAGGCGTAAGCAATGCCAAAAGTCTGTCTTCTGCGCCAGATCGAGCAGCTTCCAGCACTTCTTCCTTTCTGTACTCTCCGGTCAAAACCGCTCTCGCACTCGAGTCCGACACCTGACAAAAGGAAAGTTGAAACATTCTTCGGCAAAGAATTCATCACCTAAAATGGCACATGAAACGCATTTTCACTTCAACATCTGAAACCCCGAACGCAGAGAAGTCTTTCAAGTGGCACTATACAGAACTTAGATCGAGAGTCCTCTTACAAAATAAACAATCAAACGATTGGCCCTGCAGGGGCTCACAATTCGAACAATACAATTCCCGCGAAATTCTTTCCAACAAATTTCTCGCTAAAATTGTGACGCACGCGTGAATCAGCAACAGCTGGAGTCTTGTAAGACCACAGAACTCGTGATTTTGTGACGGCATATTTTGAAGGAGTTACATAGGAATTCTTAGAATATAGCACAACGACGATTGCGTCAAAGTACATCATTTGATAATTTCCCCTACCTGCCTCAATTCCGTTAACGTACTTCCGATTTCACAGATTTCGGCTAATTTAAGCACCTTTTATTAAAATTAATTGTCTTAAGCAAACCCATATCTACAATGCATAATATGTACTGTAAATGTACGGTATATGTATAGGTGTTATACAAGATCAAGGCTTCGGTTAGGTTAGGGAACATGTTCCCTTAAGAACTCAAGCGATGGTTTGCGTTAGGTTAGGCGAGCTGCAATTTCGGGTTTTAGGAACGTCAGGTAATGCTGACTTGGTTACGTTTGGTTGGGCTCACGATTCCGGCAAAACCTACCCGTCTTCCAAACTTCTTAAATCGGTAGGAAAAAAAAAAAGACTGGAAAAAATACCGCTGAACCACTTTAGGTCGACCTTCAATGAACCAGCTAAATATTCAACTTAGGGAGGTTTAGAGTTGGGTAAACAGCTTTTTTTCTGGATATAGGAAGAAAGAATTACAAAAGGCTAAAATTTGTGATCCTTCGGGCATTAAACTGCAGAAGAAATGAGTTGACAAGATTCTGAATTTGGAGGTAAGGTTAAATCAGCCCAATTAGTCATTCACTTCCTATTTCAACTGCATCAAGTCACATTTTCATCGACCTTGTCTTTCCTTAGAAACCAGAATACAGGTAGACTCTCTTTACAACGATCTCTTTTACAACGGTTTTCTCTGCACAACAAATTTTGTTGTTGTTTCATAGGGCTCTACCCATGTTATAGGTGTTCTCTACAAAGAAAATCCTCTCTGTAACGATTTTTCTGGTTCCTTGAATTTTATTGTAGAGAGAGTTCAACTGTAACACCACAAAGGCCTCCAGAAATTCAAGTTATGAAGATTTGAGGGGGAAAGTAAGTTAGGGGGTTTTTTTTGTTGATTATACAGGTGGACTCTCCACAACAAAATTCCAGGGACCACATATTCGTCGTAGAGAGAATTTCGTTGCAGAGAACCCCTATTACACGGGGAGATGATCCTATGAGACAACAAGAAATGCGTTATACGCAGAAAATTTTTATGGACAAGATCGTTGAAGAGAGTCCATTTGTAAGTTGTCCATGAGAGGATTCACAGAGGGTCTAGAATAATTTAAAAAAAAAAAAGATGTCAAGATTCAACTGTACCGAATTTCCGGATGAAAACGTTATCATTCGTTGAACGTACCTCGGCAGCGGTCTTTCCATCAGTATTTCGAATATGGGGATCGGCACCGTGTTGCAACAACACGATGCACACGTCTAGTTTGCCCTTGGTAGCCGCCTCGTGTAGTGGGGTGTAATTCCAGTTGTCGCGGGCATTCGGGTCCGCTCCAGCTTGCAAAAGCAAACGCACGACTTCCGCATGTCCAAACGAGCAAGCATTATGCAGCGGGATGAGTCCACCATCGTCACGGGCATGCACATTTGCACCACAGCTCAACAAATGATCCACCACATCCCGTCGTCCAAAACCTTTTGCAAAGAATTGAATCAAGGAAAGGGCTTCTAGATAAACGAACAATCGATCAGAATACGTCCAAGCATGTCAATCAAAAAATGAATTCCGAGATGGAAAATAGGTTGGACGTATTTCCGTCACGAAACGAGGGCGTGGTATGAATCGAGTAATCAATAGCTAGCACGCGATCCAGGCTATATTTAAAACTTCCCATGGAAATGCTGGATAAAATTTCCACGTTTCTTTGAACGATTTTCAAGCTCTAAATGAACGAAGAATTTTAATAGCCGCGACATGCGATCAAAATCAACATTTCGGGAGGTCTTCAATTGCAAATACAGCTGGCACACCGCAAGGATCTCAAGACATTTCCAAGACCAAAACAATTCAAGAACCGGAACAAAATACGAATCTTCTAAAAATTATCAACTTTTCTTACGCTGCACATACCCACTCCCTGATCTCATTTACAGTACTGTATTACAATATCCACTTGAAATTTTCGCGAGAAAGTCCCAGAATGCGTGCATACCATATTTTTCGACTCAAGCGTGCATGAGTTTTTTTTTGTTGCGGGAATACCATGTCGTAACGAGGGGTTTTTTCCCCTCTGGTCAGGCAAAAAGCTTTCAAGGGAAATATTTTCTAAAATTATCTCAACATCAAAACGCACGCTAGTATCTTAAAGGAGTCAACTTCGGTGCTCAAGTTCACGAACGATATTCAAAAATGGACATGGATAAGGCCACGAAATACTGAGATTATCCTAATAAGATACGAAACCTGAGGTTTAACGGTATGTATAAACGCGTTTATAGACTTCAAGATAACGATTCTTTATTTTCCGTTCGAACAGGAGTGAGCAAAAGCATCAAAATGGGTTTTTTAAATCCTTCGAATAAAATTTATCAGCTCAGCAGGTTACACAAACCAGTCGATTGTAAGTGCAGTACTTTCATGCAAAGTTTAGAATAAAGCAGCTCTAAAGCAGAAATTATCATCTTATGGTCCACGGAACCTTATCGTCACAGCCTGGACAGTATTTCAGGAAGGATCAGGGGCCACTTGAATTAAATTACTGTAATAATGATGGGATGAATTGAATACACAGCATGCATCAAGATGCGTGACGCAAAAATTGACAAGGAATATTACGGCCATAAACCGAGGAGAGGACAATTTCACTCAAATATGCCTTCAAATTGTAAGATACAGATTCTGGCCTAGGATTTTGCCATTTCATTAATCTTGCAACAGGCTCTGCTAAAGAAATGTATTCTATAAAGGGATCGCAGAGGGAAAAGGTTGAGGAAAATTGCACAGGAGAGGGATTACTCTTCTTCCGATTTTCCTAAAAAAATAGAACGAACACCGCATACAACGAATCCGCGTTTCCCCAACCAAAAAAATTACTCACATAAAGACCCTGGACAACGCAACGGAAATGGACTCGCGTTTATCCGCAAAAATGACCAACTATGGAGAACTAAAAATAGTAAAAAATATTAACAGGTCCAGGAAAATCAAATTTCTATTTGTTTGCAGGAACTGTATAAAATTATGGTGTCACGATTTTGAGTATTGTTTTTATCCCCTTCTACTGGTTTAATGGGTAGAAGTGAAGATTCGACAACAATGGTTCAAGAATAAAGGCCATTTTTTTTGGAAAATGATCTCATTTATTTGATGTTCACATATTTATGTAAAAATTCGTCCCACGCGGAGAAAGCCTCACAGAACCAAGCACTTGTTGGATTGCATAACAATCGTCGTTTGAGCAACTACAATCAACGATGAATCAATCAAACCTGCTGCAAAATGAAGAGGAGACGACTTGCGCCCGGCAGTATCCCGCGCATTCACGTTCTGGGTCGAGACGAGTTTCTTGACCTTGACCACGTCCCCGTTACGACAGGCTTCGAAAAGTTCCCGCAACGGATCCGACGCCCCCACAACACTCGCGATAGAACTCGAGGCGCCCACAGACGACCCGCCCATCCCCGAACTGCGTCTCGCCGACATGGCCGCCGCTGAACGAGGAAGCCAGCTTCCGCTGTCGACTCGACTATCGTTACGCGAGTAACCTGGAAAAGAAAGCGACGTTCTCGCTATTAAAGGCATGAATTTTTCCACACAACAAGAAACGTCCTTCAGATGAAGAATTTGCACAGCCATCTCCAGACCATCTCAAATTATCGCTCGGCGAAGGATCACGCCGCCCAAAAATATTCATTAAAGGAAAAATCAAACCGATTCTCCTTAAAGCATTCCGGTAATAAATATGAACACGCAATATTCCACATATAAATAACTGAATGAATGATTCGTATCACTGATAATGCCATTGAGCACCAAATTTATCCCGATGTTTCTTCCGGTCTGCAGCGTCCATTTTCATTCCGACGCGTTTCAAGGATGACCTGGAATTCAAGCGCATGAGAAAACCGGATTTTCACTGAAATTTATATCGCTTACTTGGACAAAACCTTTTTCTTGAGCCTCGATCTGCTGTTACTCTGACGTAACAATAGACAAATATCGGTCAGATTCGGGAAACGTCGCCTACGTTCACCGTTGGAAGGATCCGGTTTACTCTTAGGCTTCGATCTTTTTCCACGACGTTCTGGCATTTTTAAATCAACACCAGTTTCTTCCTGAAAAAAGCCAATGAATTTGAATTCCACGAAGGCCAAAAACGAATGCACATTCGGTTGGAAAATCCAATTTATCGTAAAAAATTTCGTACCTTCAGTCGACGAAGCAACTCCGGATCCTGCCAATCGGGAACCAGATCCAAAATTTCCTCCTTCGCATCTTCAGCTTTCAAACCGTCTTTATTTTGAAACTTCATAGTTTCATCCTCACTTCCATCAAGTGCCTTTCCGAAATCGTCTCTTGGAATGATGATGCCGTGAAAAGGACATTTGACACGATCTTGCCGCGGACATAATTTGCCTGATGGTAATGGAGCCTTGCAAACGTGTGTAACGGGCGTGAAAGATCCGGTAAAGTCGATCACTCTAGCATTTGCGTTGGTCATTGCTTCGTGACTTTTCTCAAGCATTTCTTCCTCTTCTTTAGATAAATCTCGGCGTGAGCACCAAACTTGATTGCCTTCGACGGCTGCGGAACTGAACATTCGATAAATCAAAACATTGCGATATTGGCACAGAAAATATTTCTACAAATTTCCGCATTTTGAGAAGAGGCAACGATAGCATATGATCACACTTTTTCCAGCAAACACGAACATTTTTTGCATCCAAAAATTATAATTCAATTGATCATTGGTTACCGATCATAACCTTCCTTGAAATTTGTTAAAGGATGCATGGGAGTCACCTTCTTCTTGGTAGGTTCAGGTAAGTTTCACGTCGTGTAAGTTACGTAAGATCCAGCTAATTTGGAATTCGTGTTAAAATCGTAGTATTCCGCAGAATAAGCAATTCACACGACAAAACGGAAGATTTGTTCACAAGTTATTTCCGTTCACGCGTGTCAGTTTATTTCATTATCGCAGTAATTTTCAACGACGCCCTTCTCGTCTACATAATGATTCCGAACTCGAAGTTCAGTACCTTCAACGCTGTTCGAGTGTTCTGGGCGCATTCTCTTTTCAAAAAATTCCGCTTTTTTGCCATCAATACTGTACTTCATTTTCCTTCACATCAGTTCTCGGCGCAAAGCGCGTATACACACAGTAAATACTGAACTTCTTAAAGCGTACTGAAAAAACTTACGAAATTATTGACTTGGATGGACCGTACGTTTCCAAAAATTTCAGAATACTTCGGCCTCCACCGTCCTTAGATTCCTCCGGGTCTCGACGAAAGCAATCCTTCCATCGCGAACCATATCGAGCACGCATCTGACCCATCCAAGTGGTAGGATCCTACGAAAAGCCATTAGATATATGTTCACGAATCGGAGGAAATACCGATTCTGTAATCAGGCTGAATTTTCTTGCAAGCAGAAAGAAAAATCGGGAACTCTACATTCTCGGTTGGGCAGTACGTTTCTCACGGACTTCACTTACTTTGTAAGATCTTATCGGTCACTAACCTCTTCTTCAAGTTCATCAAATCTCTTTCGATTAACTTCCCAGTCGTCGCATTTCTCAAGTCTAGCACTTCTCTTGCTTCCAGACGGACCCGGAACATCAAGGATAGAACTTTCCGATTTCAATTCTGCCTTCACGGGAGAAATTCCTTCGTCGGGTTCTTCATAGTCGTTTTCAGTGACCGACTCCCAACTGCATTCAGAATCTGAGTCCGAATCCATGTACTCTTCAGTTAGCTGAAATTGTTCTTGATTCCGAGGCGCTTTGAGAGACGTCGGAAGCTGGAGTTGGTTGTATTTGCCGAGAATTTTCTCCGCTTCGGATTTCATTCCAGAGATCTTCTCAAGTAACTCCGACTCTGCATCTCCTGGAAGAAATACGCATTTATTTTAGGTCTTATTCAGAGAATTGCTGAGTGATGCTCTCTCCAGGGAATAAAATGGAAGTGAACTTGAAATTAAATCCACAGAGGATATTTCTACAGCCCTTTTTAACGCAGCTGAGAGCTTGTTTGAAAAAAAAAAAAAAAACCGAACTTTGAAAAATTCTCACCTCCAAATCGTCTGCAAGCTTCAAACCAACGAATTATCCTAGGAAGCCATCGTTTGATAAGAAGTCGTCGCAAGTCGGCAGCTGCTTCGATCACAGGGGCATTTTCTTTCGAATTTTCGAAAATTGTGTCAGATTTATTGATTGTCACAACCAGTTCAGTTCCCGTAGTCATTATTCCATGGCCCCTTAACGAGTCCAAACCTTCTTCTTCGTCCTCATCTTTTTCAACAACTGCGCCATTCCCAAAAGTTTCCAATGAAGGAACGAGAAGTTCCATGCATGCACTCAACTGTTCGAGACAGCTTTCGATTTCCTCGCCGGTATCTACAAAAGAGGGAGAAAGCCTTTAAATTGTGGCGAAAAGGAGGATTTTCGAAACTGTAATAGAAGGATATTTCATCTTCTTTAATTCAGGTTATCTGTGTAACACATTTTCTGAATCACAGAAGTCCAAACCATTCGTGAGATGAGAAAGACTGAAAGCACGTCTCTTCATGCATTCAAGATATTCATCAATTAATTCCCTGATCCGGTCGATTTCTTACTGATCAATTGACAAATTTAGTCTTCAGGACAATGGGCAACCTTCGAAATCAACGTTATCAAACCACATTCTGTAATATCCATGTTCTTTTCTTTCAGCGAAAAGAGGTCATCAGATCCAACATCGTCACTAAGATGAACCTATCATTTTAAACATCAATTCACTGTCTAAAAAATTATGAAACATTCATGGGCAGAAGTGGCCAAAAGGAAATGTAGTCCTTCCCAGTTTCGAGGTTTACTTTGGACTCCAATTTGTGACCCCGTTTCAATCCGGAGAGAAATGATTGGATCAATAGATATTACACGCTGGTACTTGAAATAACCATGTCCAATGGCAAAGAAGAAGACGGAAAAAAACTAATTAACTGATGAGTCAATTCTTTCTCCCATTTAACGCGGAATGAAAAATAGTACTCGCACAATTTCTGTACAGTGTTCGAAATAATCCACTCACCGGAAAATTCCTCCCGGATTTGCTCCACCCTTCGTTGTCTCAAGGCGGCTTCACGCTTTTCCTCTTCAACCTTGCACTCATGATCTCGTTCGATTTTCTCGATCATAGATTTCAAATCAAAACCTTTGTAGTTCACAATAAACTTAAACCCTAACTCGACCTCCGATGGCATCTTTTTCCCAAACGATCGTTTCCATTCGACGAAGAATTTTGCAGCTCTCCACCGCAATTCATCCGCGGCATGTTTCGGAAGCGGCAACGTACCATTTTCCACGTCATTCGTTTCGGAGTACTTCGTGTTCATTCCAAGACAGGAGACAAAAAAGTCATCCAAGTGCTCCAAAAATAGCTGCTTGCAACGTTTCGAACGCTGGAATAGGTACTGTAACAGGGTAAAGGCTGCCAGGCGTACTTCAGCATGTTTTTCGTACAAACGGTACAAAATGGCGCAGAAAGCTTCTTCAACAGACGCATCGGAATCTCTGAAAAATAAGGAAACACGAAAATTTGTGCTCCAATCTATTCATGCCGTTTTAAGACTCTAATGTGAACAACTCACTTGCAGAATTTCTTGAGATTCTTCAAGTGTTCTTCAGGAATCATGTCACTCCCGCAAGTGCACGCAACACGGACCAATTTCCACATTTCCTCATTTTTAACATTCGTTTTTAAACTTTTTCTGCGCTTTCTAAGCTCAGCCATTCGGAGCAACCTGAAAAAATGTAAAATAGAAGAAATTCACACCAGAAATCTTACACCTCATACACGATGAGAAATAATAAACGGTGGGACGCCGTCATATTTGGACGCAATCATACTAAGAATGTTCGATTCAAGTGCTAATGCGAACACCTCAAACCAGTATAAATCCACAGCTTACGCAAGCTCGATAGTTGAAGAAAACGGAAAGCCGCCGAACCCATACTTTTCTCCCGTTCAATCGATGTACATCCGAAGTAAATTCATAAATGGTACACGTCGGAAATTTCTCAAATTCTCTCTAACTTCTAAAAATCACATTTCTCACAACACCTCTTTGTATCACCTCAAAAAGACGAAAGTTGTTTCCCATCCAGTTCATCCCAAATTCCCGTTGAACTAGCCTTCCGTCCATGGCAGCTGGTCGCTACTACACGCTTCAAGGCGCGATTCATCACCGATACTTGACGTACTTCTTCAGTAATCGCTCCACTTCTTCCTGAACTTGAACCTGTTGAATAAATTGGATAATACAGTACTACTAAGAAGTATAAAATGCATACACTGCTACGCGGTTGAAGTAATCTATACAAAACTAGAACTGCATTCATAATGCTTCGATAAAAAAATATTATTTCCATTCGAAAGTCAGGCCCTGGCTTGTCACACTGTCGCTTCAATTTTCGAACACAAACACGAAACTCAAGTCTGGTTAGTTCAAAATAAGAATCATAAGAAAATCGAAGAAAGAATAAACCGAACTTCTAGATTTTGCATAACTTCTGTAGTATTTCAGTTTTTAATGCATGAAAGTAATGTACTGTATTCAGAATTTTCATCGATCACAGCATAATTTCTCCCAGCAACGATACGAACGTTTGCTATAAAAAGAAACCTCTCGGCAGGCCGATTTTACGATTAAAGCCAATTCAACGCACCCAGAGTAGACCGAGATGTGCATGTGTACACGACCATAGTTTTTTCACCAATTCAGATTAGCCCATCTTTAGCTCCAACATTATTTGTGCGCAGCAGAATTCCGGGGAAATTTCCCTGTTTTTTACAACCGAGGTTTCACCGAAAATTCAAAATTACGGTATACCCACGTCTTGAGGCTTAGTTGGAATCCCCGAAGCACTCTGGAGAACATCGGCGGCCTCTTTGTACCTCTTCATTAGAATCAAAGTTTTTGCGCGGAACAGTTTGTTTTCTTTCCAACCGGGTGGTTTCGGATTCAAGGCATCCGCTCGTTCAAATAGCTCCAGCGCTTCAGGAAACGATGAAGTCGGTGGGGCGGCGAAGAGTGTTGAAGCAATGGATCTTTCCCACACTGACAGTTGAGAAACCTGCGCTGCCAAAAGTTCAAGCGCGTTATATACAAAACGTGCTTCACTCGATTTAGCGTTCCAACCTCAAAACAAAAACGGCCTAGGAGATGATACAAGACGAAATCTAAAGGCTTCAGTGCAATAGCCTTTTCCAAATGATCCTTGAACGTGAAACCATCTTGAATTTTTTCTTTCACGCTGAGAAACTTCCCGCGGCTACCAACATTAATGGCAAACCACTTGTGCGCGTCGGCGGATTCGGAATTGAGTTGCAATGCCTTCTCGGCATGCTCAATACCTATAATAGCGTATATACGTGATTATGAGATGCATTTTCCAACTTTGAATCCAGTCCACACATTAGAGATCTTTGAAGATAATAAGCTGCAGTGACAAGAAATTACGAAATCTTCTGGAGATCATGAGGATACGGATGTAAACAAGTGAAGTCAGGCGAAAATGAGTTAGACGAAAATCCGGACGAAAATTTAACTTCAACTCTTGTTCGGTGATTATTCCAATAATCAATCGAGTCCGGATCTCGATGACATTCCCATTCGAAATTACATGGACCAAATGTGATCAATGATTTTGGCGGGTATTAGGCACAATATTCGCCTTTTTTTTTCTACGGCTTATAGACTTTGAATTGGTGAATGGCTTTCAAAAATTAGATTGAGGTTTATAATCGTATGCAGCTTATCATGCCATGCACACAATCTGTGCTGATAGGGATATTTAGAACACGTTAATCGTCACCTTTGTAAATCCATTCTTTCTCGGCACCAGATCCTCTTGCAGGCGACATAGACGACTTCATGTGGCATGCTTTGCTCATTCTCCACGCCCATTCAGCATCATCTTTCAACTAATCATCAAATTTCAACGCAATCAGGCTCTCAATAAGAAATTTGAATAATGCGAACATACGTCTCCTTCAAGGGCATTAAGTCTATCAAATGCTTCGTGATTTTCACTTTTCTCGAATAATTCATCGACAGCGACCAATTCGGGCGCTCTTATGACGACTGTTTTTCGCATATCATCTTCATTTTGCAGATCCTCTTCGTCACTTCTGTTCAGATCAGAATTCAACTCAGAGAGCGAACAATATATCAAAGGTCATAATCGCATACTCAAGATCGAAGAAGTCGCCATCATCGGAACCCATGGAATAAAAACTCGCAACTGATGCGCAACTCGAAAACGACTGTGTCATTTTCTTCGCCGTAGCTTCCTTCAACTCTATGATTTTCTGCTCCAAGAAACCGATTTTCTTCTTCAATTCGGCAGGGTTTTCGCCCTCCGCGTAACCAACAACGTATGTTTCATTCTCTTCTTTTCCGACGGCCGAATTAATAACGTACATGGCACCAGCCCCCAAGGCTAATCCCGCACCAAGCGCGGTAGCCGCAATCAGGAGTTTATCCTTCATGTCCTTCTCCATGCGGTCTAGAAATCCCGGAGAACAGGCGATTCAATGTCAATTATCACGCTACCATGAACTCTCACATTAATAACACGACCCCTGAGATAACACAACCGACGGCACATCACACGCAACGGAAGAGACAGCTATGCCACGGAAAAATTCCACGTTTAGAGGGACATACAATATTCGTCGCTATTAGTGAAAAAGGTGGAACTCGCGAAGTGAAAAACAACAATAGGTCTTCTTAGTGAAGAGGAATCAGGAGTCCATGGGTTCTCCATGCTCGAAACAATACTCAAAATAACGCAAGAAAAAGTCCCAACACGCCCAAACAAGCGAGAACCAACGATTCATTTTCACTTCTGTATCAAGGTTTCCGGCCTCATTTCATTATCAACACTGCATCGTCCACGGGAATTTTGAGAAGACAAAATTGTCTTCCAACCCATCGAATTCCAACAGTTTATAAAACACGTCCAGACTGCTTTAAATCAGAACACCGTGTACAGTCCACCCTGCAACCACGCACCAACGAAATTTCAGTCCAGCTAACATCCCTGCGGACAAGTATTGACACGCTCATTGTCCAAATGCTCTTCAGGCAGTCCGTAGATGACGCTCTTCCTAACTGTTTTAACGCAGATGTCACTTCTTACAAGTGAGCACACGATTCAAGAAGGGCATCTTATCAATACAAATTCTCGATATATACCGTAAATAAACCCCGCTGTTTTTATAGAAGTGATTTCACAGAGAGTCTGTATATTTCGAATCACGACGGTTCCAATAGTGAGAGTGAGTAAAGTAGTACCGCATTGCAGCACGATCAAATCGCGCGGAGCAATGGATTAACAGGAAAATAGTATATGCGTTGCACCGCATTCCCTCCGTATTCGCAATAAGCTGGTCGCAGAGTAGTTCTCATTTCTGAAAATTAAAAAAAAACGTTAAACTTAAATGTGACTTGAAAAAAAAATCTGAATCAACTTACCTAAGTCGCACTCATTGTCGCCGCTTGCGCTGTTTTCACCTAGAGCTTCTCATCATAATGCATATTGCCAATGAGTGTACTGCATATTTCGAGATATCACTAGTTCTTCGTTTCGTCGCAGCAACACTTGGGAGGGCAGCAACACTTGGGAGGGCAGCAACACGGTGGTGGAGGGCAGCAACATGGCGGTGGGCAGCAATCATCTGCTCGGTTGGTCGACTGTTGCTGTTGCTGCTCCTGCACGTCCGCCATGCTCTCGCAGCAGCACTTGGGTGGGCAGCAACACGGGGGAGGTGGGCAGCAGCATGGTGGTGGGCAACAGTCATCCGATCGCGGGTTCTTCTTGGCGTGCGATTTGCTGTGGGCCTATAAAAAAATTTGTACGAAAATTAAAATTAAAAATGTGTTTTCATCCAACTCTTTCTCTTCAGGTATCAACATAATCCTATCTAATAAATGCGCAGTCAAAAACCTCCACAACTATTTTTTTTTAAGTTTCAAGTTTATGATCAGCCCTATTTTCCATTCCCTCCTTGATTCAAAACCTTGAAGTCGAAATCTACTGTTGGTCCTTTCAAATTTGCCTGGGTGCAATTTATTCGGTATATACGGAGTTCAATAAAAGCTTTTTAAAGAATTAACCAGTGCAAATGCGAACTGAAAACTAATTTTGACCAAAAGATGAGTGCTAAGAAAACCGACGATTTTCTAGTTATTCTTATCAAACTTACTTTTTAAATCGATGCTACACTTAAAATGAATTATTTTAATCTCACGTAATTTCAAATGTGTTATAATTTGAATGTTATGAATGTTATGTTATGATATTTGGAGCCAATATCTACTAAAAATGTCATTTTGACCAACCAAAACCATATACAGTTGAACCTCTGTAAGTCGAATTTCTAGGGACCATAAAAAAAATTCGACTTAGGGAGGTTTCGACTTAGGGAGGTTTTGATTTTTGCAGGCTTTGAATTAAGGAAAAAATAATTCTTGCTGTGAGGATTAGTAAAAAAAATTGCAGGAAATTGTAAATGAGAAGATTCTGGGCCTAAACTTGCCTCTTGATGAGTTTTTACTGTGCTGAACTTGGAGGCAGGGATTCATTTGATATATTTGTCTTTCAATTCCTTCCAAGATGCATCAAATTATGGGTATGATTTGATGCATCTTGGCAAAAGAATATTACATATTAGGTTACGCAAATAATATTCCATGCGTCCTGTTCTCCATCTGATTTACTTGAAGTTCAAACCCAAGAGCACGAAAAAAATCAGGGAAATGTTTCAATATCCTAAACTGGTTCAAAATACTGTACGATAATTTGCGAAGTGTGAAAATTAAAATTAACGACGAATTTGAAGAAATTCCCCTAATTGTTAAAAAAAATGCATAATCATGCACTGTAAATGTAATGTACACTCGAATGTTTAAAGAAAACACACTCATAAACAAGGTAACCAATGTTGGATCCAACATCATGAACAAAAATTTCCGGTTTACTTTATTCAGAAAAGTTTCTATGCGTCACTGTTTTCATCATATGGGTACAAAAAAAAATTTTGATAGACAAGTTCAATACTCTGAAATGGTTCACAAGGCCATAATTTGCCAAGTAAAAATTAAAATTGACCAGGAATCCACAAAACAAAACCAAAAATCCTTATTTTTTCTTCAAGGTTCCCCATCACAACTTGAAACCCATCTTGACCAAGATTAATAAATAACCTACAAAAAGCCAGATACACAGCAGGTCAAGGCATATACTTTCGCACCATATATGACAGTATATTCCCCCACATCAGACGTCCGCACACCAAAGAAATAAAAAATGAATGAAAATAATGCTGCTTTAATAATTTTCTCTCTCATATTCCACAGAAGTAATAACCAGAAGGCCTCAGAAAATTCGACTTACAGAGGTTTTAGGAAAAAAGAATTCGAGTTAGGGAGGTTTTTAATGTATTGATCTTAAGGGAATTTGGACAGGGACTTGAAAAAAATTCGACTTAGGGAGGAATTCGACTTACAGAGGTTCGACTTATCGAGGTTCACCTGTATATATATATATTTATTTATTTATTTACTACACCCTAACTAATTCTCTTCACTGCGAATACTGACCCATGTCTACCTACCAGGATCCCCCCACCCTCAGAACCCATCTGAACCTTGTGGGAGCAACAGCTCACGTGGGGAACACCCCTTGCGGAGGGTATTCAGGCCTCTTAGACTGATGTACAAATGTGTACCAGTAGGCCAAATTTACCTTTCGCAAAAAATAAGACTACCAGTGATCCACCAAAAATTTACAATCGTTTATATATTTACAGGAAATTTGACATAAAATCATGAGTGAGTCATTCTCAGAAAACCATCAAATTAGCGAGGACAAGTCATCCCTTGCTGAATCGCCCATACCAGAAGGCAAGCATAAAAAAGTATATAAAAATGTCAATATACTAATATATAGTTTATCTATTGGGTACAGATGCAATAGACAAACTTGTCCAGGGTGAACCATTAGAGAAGCCCTTGGAATCAGAGTAGGCCACTCATGAGGATAATGAGGAGGGGATCCCTGCAAATGAAATGCACAATGGAAATGATACGCTGGCCAGGTTTTTACCTGCACTCCAGGACAAGGAACCAATTTGTGTTCTTGGAGATATTGCAAAAAAAGTAATTGAAAAAATATATAAAAACGCAATGTCCCAGTGTACACGAAAAGAGATTGTGAGTGAGTTCGCAAAAATCCTGCCACCAGTAGGGAATACCGTAGTAGGCAAGGTGCCAAGGATCAATCATCCTCTATGGAATACATTGACAAAGCCAGCACGAATAACAGATAGTATGTTACAAAAAATACAATTGATTTTAATGTGCATCAACAATGGATTGATAAAAGTATTCATCAACGAGGGGTTAAACAAAACCCTTTGCAATACTATGGGAAACACCCTGAAAGCACTTGCAAATGCATACAAGATGCTGCAAGAAGAAAGAAAGAAAAACAAGCAAAGCCACGCAAAGCCACGCAAATGAAAATGTGAGAGCGGCATTTCAGAATAATTGCATTCCAACCCAATCATTTGGTGAAAGTTGGTTAATCTCTCCTACGGCAAATTGGTGAAAGAAATTGACCAATTGGTAAAAGCGGACCAAGCGTTGCAGCTGCAATTCCAAAAAGTGCAAAATTGGCGAGGAAAATCTCCCAGTGTCAGAGGAGGTCATCAACCATTTAGACCTCAACCATACCAAAAACCTCAAGGACAGAATCATTTCCAGCATTTTTTGGGGGAAGGCCAACCCAACAAATTCCGCCGTCAGAACTACGAGCAGCCCCAGAACAACTACAGGGGCAGGTCCAATTGGTGGGCCAGGCAAAATTGAAGGTCAGTAAAATTCCGGATCATATTGTGGGAGGCAGACTCCGTTTCCACATAACATTTTAAAGAGAAATTACCAACAATCCATGGATTTTACAAATGATAACAGGAGTGAAAATTGACTTTCTTAAAATTCCGCCAACTGAATTATCCCGCAACAATCCTCCAGTGAAATTTAAAGAGGATATTAACGCCACAGATACACTGGTCTGAGATCTTCTCCAACTCAAAGTGATACAACCGCAAGAATGGACCCCTCATTTAGTGATTAATCCAATTTTTGCGGTAAAAAATCACAATGGCTTGTATACTGATCCTCAACAGCAAAGCAGTCAACAAAGAATGAGTTCCCTATAAGCATTTTAAAATGGAAAGCCTTGCAGCCATAGTCCAAGGAATACAAAAAGGAGATTATATGACATCAATTGACTTGACTAAGGGATATCACAAAGTGTCCCTACATCCTGAACACCAACGGTATTTTGCATTTACATGGAAAGAGCAAATATACATTTTTACGGCCTTACCAATGGGATTAAGAGAAGCACCCAGGTTGTTCACAATAATTATGAAAATCCTGCTAAAGATCGCACACTAAAGGGAAATACGTGTTCATGCATACATAGACAACAAAATTGTGGTTGCGTCTACAAACTTGGAATGTGCTCTGCATACGCATACCTGTCAACAACTTTTACTGGATGCGGGTTTCCTAATTAATGAAGAAAAATTGCCTTTAATACCAAGTACAAGAATAAAACACCTGGGATTCATTATTGATAGCACTCTACAAGTTTTGGAACTCCCAGAGAAGAAATACAACCATCTGCAAAAAGACTTGAAAACTCTCCAAAAAATATGCAGCCGACAAATGCAAATTCAATTGAGAAAATACGCATAAATAGTTGGTTTTATGTTTAGCTGCATACAGGCAATACCATATGGAGAAGCGCATTTTTGATCATTTGAAAAGGTCAAGGCACAACTCAAACAACCAATCTTGGACTGGGATCAAAAGATCACCCTACCAAAACACCTCCTACAAGATATATCCTCTTGGGAGAAGCTGAAACACCCTTGCCAAAAATCCTTCATACAACCCAAGGTTACCCATAAAATTACAACAGACGCGTCCACATCAGGAGGATGGGGAGCAATACTGGGCAAGCAAAAAATATTGGGAACTTGGAGGATCAAAGATCAAGATGCAATTGATCTTCTTGAACTCAAAGTCCTGAGAATGGCGCTAGAAACCTTCAAGGGAAAAGGGATAAATTTCCAATGCGCCTTTATCATTTTCCAAGTGGATAATATGACCGCAGTGACCTATACCAATAAAGCAGGAGGAATGGTCAATAGACTAAATGCAGAGGCGCAAGAATTATGGAAATTTCTTGAGGAAAATTGAGCAAATGCAAAGGCAATATATATACCATCAGCCAAAAATCCTGCAGATGAGCTAACAAGAATACTAACAAGGCACAAAGCAAAAAACCTCAATGCGGAATGGCAGTTAAAACAGCAATACTTTGAAAAAATATGCAAACAATTTCAAGTATTTCCAACAATCCATTGGTTTGCTACAGCACAAAATACACAACTACCAAGATATTACTCCTGGTTTTTTGAGAAACAAGCCGCATACACCAATGCATTATTACAAGACTGGAATAATGAAATTGGATATTTTTTTTCCTCCATTTGCGTTACTCACCGGGGTGATACAAAAAATAAAGGACAAGCAAATATCAGGGATCCTCATTCACCCAAACTGGCCATCACAACCTTGGTGGCCTCAACTACTCAAGTACCAAATAACCTATCTGGACCTCCCAAGTCTAGCAGAAACGTTGTGTCTGCTGCAAAATCCGACAGCATGTCATCATCTTTGGAAATCGGACCTGCAAGCATCCCTTTTTCAGCCCAACAATTAGATAATGCGGTACAAAAAACTATTGCAGCAGCAAGGGCCAAAACTACACAAAAACAATACCAAGCAATTACAAAGAAATTCTTAAAATTTGCGGAACAAGTTGGACAAAATGTAAATACAATTACGTCCAATACCTTGCTGAGATTCCTGGCTGTATATACCGCAGTACCTCAAAAATATTTGTTTGGATACATTTGCCAAATCAGAGCAGCGGTCACCCAATGGTTCACGGACCAGGGCAAAGCATCCGTCATTAACCAACAAAAATTGGAACAGTTCATGAAGGGTGCAAAACAAAGCTCAAAGAACTTTGAACCCAAAACATCAGTATGGGATGCAGAAATTGTACTCAACACCATACGTCATTAACAATACCCAACATCCATACTTGAACAGGCCAAAGAAACTTTGCTCATTTTAGCCCTAGCTACGGGTTTACAAGTCGACAACATTTCCAAATTGGGAAAAGAATTTTGGCAAGAGGGACAGGATATTTACATCCCATTCCTCAAAATGCAGAAAACATCAGCAGCCACACAGCAAACCTGACCAGGTATTTGCCTTGCACCATATACAACAGATCCTCGTATATGCCCAATAAACCTGGTCAAAAAATATGTGGAAATAACACAATTTGAGTCAAGATCACCCTACTTATTCGTAAGGGCAGATAATGGCCAACAAGTTCAAAAAGCAACGTTACGCCAATGGCTCATAAAGATACTAGCTGAAATGGGAATAAACGATACGCCAGGATCAACAAGATCTGCAGCAGCAAGCTTTGCATGGGCTAAAAATAGATCATTTGACTCAATTGCAAAGCTTACAGGATGGAAACAAGAAACTACCTTCCAAATGGCATTACAACCAACAGCTGACAAAAAAAGGACAAAATCTAATGGATCCACCAACACCCAGCAGCAGCTGCATGCCAGGCACTTCCTTACGCGGATCCATTCATGATGGGCCAAAAATAGACTTAACGACGCATTTTTTGAAAGAACCTGGGGAGGGCCTACCGCAGGACATTGGCAATAAAGTCATTCCAGGCAGGAAGAGAAAGATGAAAGTGCCAATCCCCAGGGATGGAATTGCGTCGCAAACTAGAGCTTGCGGAAAGCAGAAAGAAACTGCCAAAAACAAGTGACAAGTGTTTTACAACAGCAGCTGTGCATTGAAGTGTAAATAAAAAATGTTTTCCACCAAAAAACTGTTGGGAAAGAGATCAGTTTTCTTTGCGTGAAAAACATACAAAAAAAATGCTTAACAGCACATGAAAACATCTTGGACTTTTGAATCCGATTCTAAAGATTTGCAGTGAAGAGAATTAGTTAGGGTGTATTAAAAAACCCCCAGGCAAGGGCACCGTTAGCCTGGGGAAGGTTACTACTTACCTAACTCAATTCTCTTCACTGTCCCAAATCTATAAAAAATCCCAACCCATCCCTCTATTCAGAGCTGATCCACGTCCGAGATCCTGCTAAAGCTCTGAGGGTGGGGGATCCTGGTAGGTAGACATGGGTCAGTATTCACAGTGAAGAGAATTGAGTTAGGTAAATACAGTCAAACCCCGTTAGACTGCCAACGTTTGTACAGCAGAATTTTGGCGGTTCAACAGGGTTGGCAGTTTATCGAGGGAGGGCGCCCCTGTTGAAAAAAAAAATAGTCCCAACCCCCACCCTTCTCCACCTGCCAGGTCATTCTTTGTTTCTTGGGAGCTCTCGTATACATATTAAGACACAGCAAATCAAAAATTGTATGCTGAGTTTAAAGAGAAATTTTTACAAAGTTAGTTAGGATGGGTTACTGTATTTAAATTTTGATTATTTGGGTGCAGGTTAATTTGAATGAAACTCTGTACACAAATATTGAGGTGGAGGGGAGCATGGGGCAATGAAAGGCTGGAAGGAATTATTTTTGGCAAAAAAGTTGAGCACAAAGTCAATCTGTTCTGTCTCACCAGAAAATTCATAAAATGGAAGCAATTATATTTAAATGTTTCAGCCACAATGTCACTTGTATTCTAAAATTTACAACTTTATGATCTACAAATTTTTTCAATGAGTTCTCATTCCTGAATAATAAATTGAGATTTGTTTCTGGCCACCTTGGATGAGATTCTGAAATTCAATTGCCTTGGAGGGAGGGAAAAATATTGGCGGTTTATCGGGGTAAAAAACAATGCAAATATCCAGTTTGTCCTTTAAAAAAAGTTGGCTGATGGCGGTTGGCGGCTTAACAAGGGTCTCCTTTGGCTTTACAATTAGGGAGATTTGTTTGGGAGGAAAAGTTGGCGGTAACAGAGGGTGGCGGTTTATCGGGGGGCGGTTTAACGGGGGTTGACTGTAGTAACCTTCCCCAGGCTGACGGTGCCCTTGCCTGGGGGTTCGCGTATGATGCTGGAATGTGGTGCAGAGGGGGGAGGGGGTAGGGGTAATTGGCAGGAGAATATGCAGTAAGTAATAGAGAGGGGAAACACTCTGCTGGTGCTGCACGACATGGATGGGTTCCCAAGCATGGGTAGCATCATGCTGCTATAGTATACATATACCCATACACTGTAAAAAAAAGAATACTGGAATGCTGCACAGCAGTGCCAAAGTGGCCGAATAATAAAGGGAACGTGGTCCTCATGTTGAGTACTGTATAGCACACGATAAGCATCAGCATACTCGTCATCCGAGCGAGTCAGCAGTACAGCACTGCATGATGATACAGTAATAGGGAAGGTCGTTCATCGGAGCACTGCTTGCACACAGCTCCTCTATATATACAGTACACTGTACAGCACTTTACTATGCTGTGCTGTGCCTAACTGTATACTCGGCTGCAGGGCATGTATAAATTGCATGAGTGCGTATTACGCGCGGGAAACCCATTGGTTCTGCATAACCCGAACAATCGCGATGTGAGACGTATATGCATGAACTTTGACTCTCTTTCTCTATCTCTCTCTCTCTGTCTGTCTGTTTGTCTCTCTTTTCTCTGCCTATACTAAAATACGACGTCAATTAACAAATAAACTTCTGTGCATCAATACTATAGCACCATTTATTATGACTCAATGGCTCATCATATTGGGAATGGAAATAAAACAATTTTAAAAATAATAATGATACAACTTAAAAGGGTAATACAGTAATGTCTGGCATTATTTCCACATGCTATGCTGGCATGAAGCAGGCCGAAGTGAATGAATGCTTCCCGTGCGCCCAATTCCTCGCCTGACTTGCTTCATACGTACATATTCAATACTGTATTGCATACAATGCAGTGTACAGTATATACTGAACCAAGGATGATCGAGAGAGAGAGAGAGAAATAAGAATGCGATGAAGAGGATGAGCTATATAGCTGCAACGATGATGGCAGGAACGGATGCACAACACAGTGCAATAAGAAAAACGCCTCTTCCGATCCAGATACACACTAATGTATTAATTGTACAGCAGTCAAGCACGCGCGGGTTATTTATATTGAGCTGAACCTCAACTATAGTATACTGTATATAGCAGCACGACGTACGACGATGAGAGGAATGAAGAAGAAAAAAATTCAGAGGACGGTTATGCCCGAATGTGCGGCTGCATCGCGTCACCATCCTGAATATATATCCAGTACTGTACAGTATATAGAAATATGCCAAAATGCCCAACTGAACGTCGTTGCTCCATTGAATGAATTCTAATCCGCATATTCAATGAATGCATATCCATGAGAGTACTATACTGTAGTTGCAGCATGCTTTTCATCCTGAATATACGGAAGGGCTTTATACTGCTCTGATCGACTTTCTTTAGTCGTTGTTGTGCTGCATTCCAGTCTCAACTGCACGACCATGCATATACTGTACAGTACGTATATACTGTGCAGTACTGCATGCATTCGAGACCTTTTCAACACACATGTGCTGATGAGCGGCTGCTTCATCATCACTCACAGTATTTATTTTCATGTTCAACGAAGGACAAATTGCAGAGTACTTGCATATATATATATACAGTAGTTGCATTCAGCACGAGTACTTTCCGTGCGTGCTGGAATATTTCATATGGTAATTCGTAATTTGTCCCGAATATGATTCGTGATGAAAAGATAGGGAACCGTTATAATTCGCTTTTCGCACTGGTTTTGTCCGAATAAGTACAGTACAGCAGTACTGTAATATTCTCCGCATACTGTATATATATGCAGGCATCGAACGGAATTTAGAACCAAAGGCTGCATGCTGGGCATAATTGCTTAATAATTCACATAAATAAAAGAAGAAGCGCGGTACTATCCCGCACGCATCAGTTTACAGTACAGTATATATATATTTATATATATATACATTAGTGATATATATTCGCAGTACCCGTGATACACATTGTGTATACACATCCTGCACTCGTTAGTCGTATACGTATATAGTTTACATACTGTATATGCAGCATCATGACTCAGCAATCGACGGCACGGCGAAGCATTATATTCTCCGCCTTCGTTCGTCTCAAATAAAGTGCGAATTTATTGATATGCTGGTGCTGATTCCGTTATTTATCTTAAACGTGTCCCAGCACACATGCTGTGCACAGCAGTACATCAGAATATACACGAGTGGCCGAGTTTTAAGAACCACAGCAGTACAGCTGTACAGTATCTCGTATATAGAGCGCAATACAATTCTTTACTGTACTGTACTGTAGTGTACTGTACTATTGATGCACGCGGCATTTTGCTGCTCTGTTTTTCCCCTCTTTTCGACCGGGAGGGGGGGGGGGACGAAGAGTCGCCCTGGGTAAATCAAGGTGCTGATGAACATCCATCATCATCAGAATGCGGATATATAGAGGAGAGAGAGAGAGAGAATAAAGTTGAAAAGGAGCGAAACCGAACCTAACTATACTGGTGCTGCTGATGTGTCGTGTCATCCAAGTATATAGAGCAGAACAAGCCGGCCCCTTATATTGCTGCTGTGTTGCATGCTGGATTGTAC